GCTGCCGGTCTGCTACTCTGCTTCCCCTGCTGCCGGTCTGCTACTGCTGCTGCCGGTCAGCTACAGCCTTCAATGTGCTGGGAGGGAAGGGAGAGGGAGGGAGGAAGGGGAGCAAGGGAGACCAGTGAGAATGGAAAGAAGAGCAGGCAGCAGCGTGAAGACAGGGAGAGGGCAAGAAACGAGAGCGAGCACGGGAAGAAGACCCGCAGCAGCATAAGTGCACGAGGGAAAAGAGGCTCACCTTGTTCCAGACGACCCCATCCTGATACTCTCCCATTCCATCCCAGCCGAGTGGAGTGCTGCCCCCCTCCCCTCCCACCACTGCCACCTGCCCGGCCACAAGGGGAGGGGTGCGGGGGAGTAGCGGTGTTGACCCCTACGCCCCTCCTCTCCACCTGTAAGGAGAGAACTGAAGGGAAGTGAGTAAGCGGATAGGGGTAACAATGTGAAGGGTGTACATGGTTGGGTTGGGGTGGGGTGACAGCAGGAAAGGGGGCCACTGGTGCAGCCTCAGCTACAAGCCACAGACCCAAAGGGGCTATACACCAAGGGAGGCTCAACCTGAGAGAATACCATCTGTACCAGGGGTGGTTTACCAAAAAAAGGGGTCTGTGGCTTCAAAATGAGGCACGACCAGAGGCTCAGGTTTAGAGGGAGGCTCAAGTCTCTTGTGTGTGACAGAGAGCAGCACATGAAAAGCAACAGCGCGAGGGAGGGTTGGGAGAATAGGGGAAGAGCGGGGGTACTTAGCTGTGGGTGGGTTGGGTGGAGAGCAGGTGCTGCGTGTGCACTCCATGTCCCCCGCCAGTGCCACTCCCGTGTGTGCGACCTGCTGCCCTGCTGCTGCCCTCCTGCTGCCCCCGTGCTGCCCTGCTGCTACGCTGCTACAGCCTTCAATGCTCTGGGAGGGAGGAGAGAGGGAGGGGAGATGGAGGGAGGCAGGGGATTAAGAGACAGCAGTAAGAACAGGGAGAAGCGTGAAGGCAGGGAGCGAGCAAGAAAGAAAAGTGAGTATGGGGAGAAGAACAAGCAGCAGCATGAGTGCACGAGGGAAAAGAGGCTCACCTTGTTCCAGACGAACCCATCCCGATACTCTCCTCTCCCATTCCATCCCAGCCAAGTGGAGTGCTGCCCCCCTCCCCTCCCACCGCTGCCACCTGCACGGCCACAGGGGAGGGGCGCGAGGGAGCGTCGGTGTTGACCCCACACCCCTCCCCGTCACCTGCAATGAGCACACACAGAGCTAGTCAGAGCGCGGTGGTGGGAGCAAGTTGAATGGGAAGCTGTGACAATCCAGCACAAGGGAAGGGAGGAGTAACCACTGGTTGAGGCACGGCCACAAGCCCCAGACCTAAGGGCACCTGATAAAAAACCTGAGGGGTGTACCTGAACCTAAAGGGGTTACCTGCACCTGAGGGAATTACCTGGAGCAGGGAGGTCTGTAGCGTGTGAGCAGTACTCAACCAGTGGCATTGTTTCAAGAAGGCGGTGCAACAGCAGATGAAACAAAAGAAACGGTATGGCAGGCAAGGTTGAGGGCACGGGGGGACTGGTACTTAGCTGATTGTGTGGCGCAGGCGGAGGGGGTGCTTCAGTGGAGAGTGGGCAAGGCGAGCAGGGGTAGAAGGGACGGACCTGCGAGGCAGAGAAGGGAGAGAGAGATAGAGAGATAGTAAGGGGCAGGTGGGAGGGAGTGACTCTTTTAAACGAGAAGACTCTGGCAGCAGTGCGAGTGCAAAAAAAAACGGTGCATGTGACGCCAACCACAACCTCTCAAGAGCCGCTACCAACCTGAACCTGCACCTGAACCTGAACCTGAACCTGAGGGGGAGTGGGCTCATGTGGAGTGTGGTGGCAGGGGCGATACTGCAACATCGACCGTTGATGAGGCCGACCGTTGATGAGGCCGGCGCTGCTGCCCCGCTGCCCGCGCTCCTGCTGCCCGCCCTGGTACTCCCCTCGCCTGCTGCTCGCCTGATGCCCTCCCTTGGCTTGTGAGGGCCTGGCAGGGAAGGGATGGGAGGGCAGGGAGGGGAGGGAGAGGGAAGGGCGGAAAGGAAAGGCAGCCAAAAGTAAGAAGGGTTGCAATGGAGAAAATTGTCAAACACACGTGCAACAGCAGAAACGACAGTGCATGTGACGCCAACCACAACCCCACAAGAGCCGCTACCAACCTGAACCTGCACCAGCACCTGAACCTGAACCAGCACCTGCACCTGAACCTGCACCTGCACGTGAGGGGGAGTGGGCTCAAGTGGAGTGTGGTGGCGGGGCGATACTGCAACCTCGACCGTTGATGAGGCCGGCGCTGCTGCCCCGCTGCCCGCGCTCCTGCTGCCCGCCCTGGTGCTCCCCTCGCCTGCTGCTCGCCTGCTGCCCGTCCCTTGGCTTGTGAAGGCCTGGCAGGGAAGGGGTGGGAGGGCAGGGAGGGGAGGGAGGGCAGTGCGGAAAGGAAAGGCAGCCGAAAGTAAGAAGGCTAGCAATGGAGAAAATTGTCAAACACACGTGCAACGGCAGAAACGACAGTGCATGTGATGCCAACCACAACCCCACACGAGCCGCTACCAACCTGAACCTGCACCCGCACCTGAACCTGAACCTGCACCTGCACCTGAACCTGAACATGAACATGCGGGGGAGTGGGCTCAAGTGGAGTGTGGTGGCAGGGGCGATACTGCAACCTCGACCGTTGATGAGGCCGGCGCTGCTGCCCCGCTGCCCGCCCTGGTGCTCCCCTCGCCTGCTGCCCTCCCCTTGCCTTGGGCTCGCCTGGCAGAGAAGGGATGGGAGGGCGGGGAGGGCAGGGAGGGGAGGGACGTGAGGAACGAGGTGCAGGTAGCGGGGGAGGTGGGAGCGAGAGTGAGATGGGGAATGCACAGTACAGCGTGCGAGACGGCAGGGACAAAAGGCAAGGCAAGGGTGGGGCCACTGGAGGAGCACATCTACAAGCCACAGACCCCCAGGGGAACCTGAGGGGGCTGTAAGGCTTTAGGGGGCTGAACCTGTACCTGATGGGTTTACCTGCAATGAGGGGTGGGGGTCTGTTGCTTGTGAGGCGGGCCCCAACCAGTGGCGAGTATTTCAGGGAGAAACGGTGAGCAGCAACGGTGGGCAGCAAGCGAGGGAGAGTGGAGGGAGGAGAAGGCACTTAGCTGGCGGTTGAAGAAACACCGAGCGCTGATGCTGCTGCAGCCGCATCTGCTGCTCACCCCCACGCCAACGGAGGCACAACCGTGCGACCATTTCGCCATGAAACGAATCGCGGACGACGATTTCGCCGTGCGTGCTGCTCGGATAGCGTCGTTAGTCGCATCTGAACGTCGACAAGGCAGAAATAACGGGGAATGCGGTTACGAATGTGACATTATCGAGGTTCAGGACGTGGTGCATCGAATGCAACTCAGAGGTTCTAGGGATGAGACAGCAACGGGAAAGGCGGTGGTGAAAGCAACTGAGAGTCGTACCGAAGCATTCGCGGAAATCTTCAGGGAAGAGGCGACGAACGGTCGGCGGACTGTCAACGCAAAAGAAAACCGATTTCTAGGGATAAGGAATCGCGGCGCCACGGCAGCACGTGTTTTGTTGCGCGGGTGCATCTGACGTGGGTGAGACAGTAAGTGCGAATCGGGAAAGGAGCATATGAGATGTGCGAAAGCGAAACGTGAAATCTCGTAGAATGAAAACTAGAAACTGACGCTGAAATCTCGCCGCGAAGAAACATCATCGGAGGAATAACCTTGTCGGACAAACTATTCGGACATTATTGCTTCATCGCCGTCTCAACAGCACGGAGAAGACGAATCCCCGCCGGAAACGCTACCGTGGAGAACGCAGCGAGCAAGAGATCACACGAAAAGCCAAACGCGAGAACAAATAGCCTCGAGAAAGTAGAAATCATCGCCAGCGAGAGCAGACGTAGCGCCATAACTAGTCTCGAGCAAGAGAAACATGTGGAGAAAATGCGTTGAGAAGCTCAAGCCAGAAGCGTGGAGAAGTTAGGCGTTGGGAGAAATGAGAAATGAGTTGTGGCTGTTGGGTTGGTTGGCCCAGTTCCGAATTCCCTGAACGTAATCGGCACATTAGTTGCCCATGTTTAGCACGGTTGAAATGGTTGCAAAGTGGTTTGAAATTGTTGTGGGTCTGAATGCTCCCAGCTTTCGCTGGGAGTCACAAGAATGGTTCAGCACAGTCCAGGGTTATCCCAACCAATCCCGAGGCTGGCCAAGCGGCGGAGGAGGAAGCACCGCCCACAAGATTCGCCCGCGAAATTTTGCGAGCGCGGAAGATTTTGAACAAACGGCCAAGTCACGAAATCGAGTGCGACGGGCGAAATAGCACTGACGACGTGTTGTTTCGCTTCTGCGCTGCAAGCAGTCCCCTGCTCAAACGACAGACTTTTGCGAAACACGTGGGTGTCGCCAAGAACGTCGAGGCTAACGGGTCCGGCAAGGATTACAAGAACATCCAAGTAGCGCGGGATTATGAATGCGCTCCCGTAAAAAGCCTGACACGAAGCAAAGAAGGCGCAGACTCAGGAGTTTTGCGGAGGGCGGGGCTGCTGCTCCAACGGGATGCCTGCGGACGGCGCAATTTGGGGATGTTTTGTGGAACAAGCTCCGACAGCATGACGTTTCTGATTCGCCATCCACGACATCATCCAACAAGCTCCGTGATTGTCCGTGATTGTTTCGTGATCCAACGGACGAAATGAACTAACGCAGAACGCAACAGATCACGCCTGGATCAATCTTTAGATGCTTTTGTGCTTTCTTCGGTATGACAGAATGATACTTTTTCAGCGAACCATAATATACAACTTCATGGCATCTGCAACAATAAGAAACTTCCATTTATTCATCTAGCTGAAACCTGCACTTCTTGAATAGCTTCAATCAACTCTAAGCAGCACAACCAAGCTGAAGATTCCTGAATGCTGAGCTTTATCAAAGTATCGATTTATGGCACTGGTAGTGATTACTCACGCATCTTAGTCCCAGCACCAGAGTCCAGCAGTGAGGGCAAATCTCTCCACAGCAGCCGCCAAGCCATCATGGTCGTTAGAGCTCGACACATGGTCTGCCACTGCCTTGACCGAAGGGCCAGCATTTGCCATTGCCACACCCAAACCAACCATCTGGAGCATCTCAATGTCATTTTCACCTGCCATTACAAAAAGAATGTCAGCACCGAAAATAGTAGCAGAGACATCTGCACAAAAGGGTGAAGAGGCTGCAATTTAGTTTCCGCCATCAACTCACCATCTCCTGCCGCCATGACCTGCTGCGGGTGCAGACCCATCATGTCAAGCACAGTGGCAAGGCCTGTGGCCTTGGAAGCGCCAACTGGAAGCACTTCCAGCATGCCAGGCACTGATGTGATGAGCGACCCCCTCCCACCCAGCTCCGCGTCCAAACGAGGCCTTAGTGCTGCCAAGGTGTCGTCGTCAGCCATGAGAATGAGCTGGAGGGGTCATATGCAGGGATGGGGATGTTGCATGTAATGGTTAAACAACAAAGGGTTATCACATATAGCATCCATTACGTTGAGTCACCAAGCTTGAAATAATATACACAAAGGGCGAATTGGGAGAGAATGAAAGTGAATGGAGAAACACATGAGAGGTGAGGGAGACAGCTGTCAGTCTGAGCAACAGACCTTGTGAATGGATGTGATGCCAATGAGGTCCTCAAGGGGGCCAACGGCTTCGGGAATTGGCTCGCCATAGGGAATGAGACGATCAGTGTGCTCGTCCCTTTCTTCGCACAGTCTGGGAAACAAATTGAAAACATGAAACTTGGAGTTTATTAAGCAGAATCCACCGATATGAAATAGATATTTTTTTAGCAGTGTGCCCTTTATTCGCTAACGTAACACCTCGTGCACCACTTAATTGCTGAAAATGCAGCCGTGCGGGTCACTGACACGAACGCTTACATTCTCTCGCCACAGTAGGCCGTGAGAGTGACGCCTTCGGCCTTGCCGAACCGAATAACCTGCCGAGCCACATCCTCCGCCATGGCTCGCTCGTACAACAGAGTTCCATCGGCACTGTAAACCATCAAGCCCTGGAGCGAGGCAATGCGACGATGAAAATAGGTGAGACGGATTCCGCATAGCTATTGTGAAATATAAATCACAAGAGTGCCGAGGAATTTACCTGTAAAAAGACTCCAGGAGTTTCAAGCTTCAGTCGCTCCTTGATTTCAGGAAACCACGGTCCTCTTGCTTTGCCAGTGGCCAGAACGACCTGCACCAAAAAGCGCCTTTACTTAGATGACCGCCGCTGGAATATACAACCGGTGATTTGAAGCTCCAAAGATCATATGAGCAGGTTTGGAAAAAGATAGATCTTGCAATAACAAATTGATGCTAACCTGGATGCCTTGCTCTTGCGCCATCAAAAGCGATCTCTCGGTCCGTTCACTCAGGGCGTGGTTGCTGTTAAGCAGAGTCCCATCCACGTCAGTCGCAATCAGCACGATCTGTCTCGACGGCAGCCCGCCGTCCTCATCTTGCTGAAACCGTTGTCGTCGGGTCAACCCGGCGTCCGAAACCTGCCTCACCGGGCTTTGCGGCTTCGGCTTGGCTGTCGTTTGCAGGATCTCCAGCTGGTATTGCTTCGTGCGCTTGCTGACTGTCCCTGGGACAACGGCGATGGCCCTAGTGCATGATTGCTGGGAATTGCGAGTTCTATGCGACTGCAGTGCAGAGCTGGAGACCTGAGAGCTCGACCATGCCTGTTGTCGCTGACAACAAGATGACAGATGCCTGCTCGGCGTTCTCGAGGTAATTGGTGAGGCTATGGCTGCCATGGCTGCTCGATGAACGTCAGCTGCGCGTTGATCTGAAGCTTATCAATAATAGCCGTGGCAACTGATGCTGCTAGCTAAGTCCAAAGAGATCGTAGAGCAGACAAGAGATATCGAGGTTGGAGAGGAGACATGAGGCAAGTTCAGGAAGGTGAGTGGATCGAAATGGCGGAACAAAGATCGAGGTGTACTTTACCTGGCCCCTGGGAAACGGAGGGAGAAGCCCATGGGGAATCAGCTGATCCATCCGCAGCTAAGGGAACGGCTGGGATGTGATCGATTGCAGAATCACGATGGAGATGGTCGGTGAAGCAAGTGCGATTCTATCCACCAATCAGACCACGAAGGGGTGACTGAAGGGGCAGGCGAAAAGGTAACGCGATTTGAGTGGCTGGTGGTTGTACCAGAGTTCGTGGACAAAACGCGACTGTCGAGAAAGGTCGATGCGGATTGGGCCTTGGTGCGCTGAGTAGGCGCCGACTCCACGCGAATGGGTCTTTCGTCAACAAGAAGCTGCCACGTGACCGGCCTGGCATGTGTGTTCCTTCTTCCCCCCCTTCCTGACCCTGACAGGAACAGTGTCAGAAGCAGACAAACCACACAGAAGCGGCCCCCAAATCCAACGGGCGCTGGGGCTGCTTTCCGTTTCCGTAAAGCCCTGTCCCTTGGAGAATAGCTACACGTTCAATTAAATACATACTCGTATGTACTGGGGTTCAGTTTGATGCAATAACAGTTACAGAAAAGGCTTGAAAATGTCTGACCCCAAGTCAAACAAAGGCTTTGCCCTCTCACTCTGGTACATTCATTCTTGTGAAAATAATCACTATTCGTTTGTGGCAGCAGATTGGATGGCCCCAAAACTACATAAGGCAATCATTTTTACATGCTGTCAGTTTCTGAAGCCATTAGGCAGGTATCTGCTGGCATACATTCTTTCCCGGTCATAAATGCACTGCTCCTTCACTTCTGTCGTCTCTTTGTCACTGCACTAACTCCTCCATCCTCTTTTTTCTTCACAGCCTTTTTCACCCTTGCTGCTGCTTCCACCACTGCCGCCACCACTACTCTTGCCGTCGCTGCTGCTGCTGCTAGGCTTACCACCAGTAACACCACCACTCGCCTTACTCCTGGAACTCTTCCTCGCACCCCTTGCTGCCCCTACCTCTCCCACCGCCTTCCTCCGCATCACCATCCCACTGCCCCCTGCCAACTCACTCCCACGTTGCACTGCATCCGCTGAGCCTGTTCTCACACCAGCAGAAGCACCAGCAGAGCCAGGCTGTGCAGGGGCACTGGAAGCAGGCAGCTCTGGCGTGCCTTGGCCCCCCTGGGCTGGCCTGCAGCAGGCCACTGAGGGGAGACGGTGATTCTGGGCGGCACTGGTGCGTCGGCACGCACAGAGGCACCGGCTGGTAGAGGCTGCACAAACACACGCATGCTGCTGCTGCTGCTGGTAGTGCTGGTGGTGGTAGTGCTGCTGCTGGTAGTGCTGCTGCTGGTAGTGCTACTGCTGGAGGCGCTGCTAGTGCCAAGAGCTGTTGTTGCTACAAGTGGTGATGCCAGTGGGGGGGAGGCGGCATGAGAAGAGGGGTACGGGGAGGGAGAGGGGGAAGGAGGTCCAGATGGGATGGAGGCGAGGTAGGCGGGGATGTTCAAGGCAGGCGCAATGTGGGGAGGAGGGTCGTGCGGGGTGAGAGGCGGGTCGATGGTGGAGCGGCTGTTGTGGGAGAGCAGGAAGTAGCCGTATGGCAGCGCTGCATCCACCTGGCGGTGCGGGCGAGGGGGGTGGGGGTGGGGGTGGGGGTGGGATAAGGAAATTGTGACTATGAGCATGGGGATGGGGACGGCTTTTGCGACGTCTCAAAAGGGAGAGCAGCAAGTAGCCGTACGGCAGTGCTGCATTCACCTGGTGGTGCGGCTTGGGGTGGAAACTGCAGCTGCAGCTGGCAGTGGGGGTGGGGAAGGAATGGGGATGGGGTTCGGGATGGGGAAGGGGCCATGGGTATGGGGATGGATGCTCGCATTGCCATGGATACATACTCCCTAATCCCTGTGCTCCCATCCCGTGCAACCACGCTTGTGCTCCCACCCCGGTCAGCACATGCACTCCTCTCACGCACCTGTATGTGCAGGGTGACGTGGAGGGCAGCACAGATGACATGGACAAGCGAGGGAGTGCCATCTGGCAGGGCGGGTCCCATGAGCAGCTGTTCACACGTGGCAGGCGAGGCAGCCAGACCCACCACCACCTCCTCTCGCCCGCCCTCTCTCTCTTCACCCCCCTCACCCCCACCACTTGCTGCTCCTGCTGCTGCTGCTTGGGCTCTCCGCTCCCGCCGCCTCTCCCTGGCCCCTTTTCCCGGCCTGCCCTGCTTGCTGCCTGCCGCTGCTGCACACTGCGCCTGCCGTTGGCAAAGGGGGGATGGGGGAAGGGTTAAGAGGCGCGCGTACAGGGTGCATGGGTGCGGGGAGGAAAGGGGGTGGGATGAGATGAAGATGGTGAGACGAGGCCGGCAAGGCCTTCACAATCTATTTTTGAGGCGCCTCAAAAGGCCTTCACAATCTATTTTTGAGGCGCCTCAAAAGGCCTTCACAATCTATTTTTGAGGCGCCTCAAAAGGCCTTCACAATCTATTTTTGAGGCGCCTCAAAAGGCCTTCACAATCTATTTTTGAGGCGCCTCAAAAGGCCTTCACAATCTATTTTTGAGGCGCCTCAAAAGGCCTTCACAATCTATTCTTGAGGTGCCTCAAAAGGCCTTCACAATCTATTTTTGAGGCGCCTCAAAAAGCCTTCACAATCTATTTTTGAGGCGCCTCAAAAGGCCTTCACAATCTATTTTTGAGGCGCCTCAAAAGGCCTTCACAATCTATTTTTGAGGCGCCTCAAAAGGCCTTCACAATCTATTCTTGAGGCGCCTCAAAAGGCCTTCACAATCTATTCTTGAGGTGCCTCAAAAGGCCTTCACAATCTATTTTTGAGGCGCCTCAAAAGGCCTTCACAATCTATTTTTGAGGCGCCTCAAAAGGCCTTCACAATCTATTTTTGAGGCGCCTCAAAAGGCCTTCACAATCTATTTTTGAGGCGCCTCAAAAGGCCTTCACAATCTATTTTTGAGGCGCCTCAAAAGGCCTTCACAATCTATTTTTGAGGCGCCTCAAAAGGCCTTCACAATCTATTTTTGAGGCGCCTCAAAAGGCCTTCACAATCTATCACGCAGCCACTCACCCCCCTCCCATCGCTGCACCCCCCAATGTGTCCCCCACACAAGCGCCTCCCCCACACCTGCACCCCCCAACTTGCCCCCCGCACCCGCCCAGGCCAAAGTCACCCCAGAATCAGCAGCAGGTGAGCGCACCAGGCAGAGCTGCAGCGCGCGCTCGAGGCGAGCCAGCATGGCCAGACGTGACTCCACCCGCCCCCCAAGTCTCCCCACCCCCCCAAGTCCCCCCACCCCACCCTGCGTCCCCCGAATCACCCACACTCCGCCACCCTCAAATCCCCCACACCCCGCAGCACTAGGCGCACCAGGCAGCGCTGCAGGGCGCACTCGAGGCGAGCCAGCATGGCCAGACGTGACTCCACCCGCCCCTCAAAGTCCCCCCATCCCGCATTCCCCAAGTTCCCCCACCCAACCAGCAGCACAAGGCATGGCCTTACCAGGCAGCGCTGCAAGGCACGCTCAAGGCGGGCCAGCATGGCCAGACGTGACTCCACCCGCCCTGCCGCCCAGCAGCACCTGCACGGCGCCGTCAACGAGGCGGCAAGGCTTGGACGCATCTGATGGCATGTGCAGGTGGGGAGGGGGGGGAGGGTGAGAGGAGAGGTGAGAGCAGGGATGGGGATGAGGGGTGTGCAGCACGTGGACCGCACCACACCAAGCCGCAGAGCACATGGGAGCACTGCAAGGCACCGCACTGCACCGCAGTGAACCAGCCCAGAGAGCACTCACGCGCTGGCGGGTGAGTTCAAGCAGGCCGAACTGCGAGATCTCCCCCACTCGCACCTTGCGCCGGTCCCCCCCCATCGCCCTCCTCACCTCCTCCTCCACTGCCCTCCGGTGCTCCGCTGGGGAAGGAAGGGGGAAGAAACGAAGAGGGGAAAGAGGATGGCACATGTGATTATTTAGAAGAAGCAGCACGGCACCACTGAGAGGCACTCGCACCAATGCATGTCATTTGAGTCAACCAAGTCAAAGCAGTCAGAGGAGTCAATGGAATTAATGAAGAGTCAACAGAACCAATGACATGAGCAAAGTCAAGGGAGGGACAGTCACCTTTATGCATGTCGATAAAGTCAATGACGACAAGCCCTCCCAGGTCCCTCAGGCGCAGCTCCACTGCAATCTGCCACGGCAAGGGTGGCGCAGGGCAGGGGTGGCATGGCAGTGGGGCGCGCAGCAGAGGTGGAGGAGTGCCACGGGCCAACTCCAAGCGCATGTGCTCGTGCACATGGTGCAGATGCCCGCTTGCCAAGGTGCACCCACCTGTCTGGGTTGCAGCAGGCTGAGCCGCCACAGAACGCACCGGTCTAGCAGCAGCACAGGTGCTGCCGATAGCACCCACCTGTCTGGCGGCAGCGAGGTTGACGGCAAGGAAGGTGTCCTCCTGCCGTGCAGTGGGCTGCAGCACGCTCCACCCGCTGTTCACGTCTATTGCCACCAGCGCCTCCGTCTCCTCTATCACCAGGGAACCGCCGCCTGCCAGGGGGACACTGGTGTGCAATGTGGGGAGAGGGAGGGAGATGGCTGGAAGGGGAGATGTGGAGAGGGAGAGGGAGGCACGGAGGTGCAGCACGCTCCACCCGCTGTTCACGTCTATTGCCACCAGCGCCTCCGTCTCCTCTATCACCAGGGAACCGCCGCCTGCCAGGGGGACACTGGTGTGCAATGTGGGGAGAGGGAGGGAGATGGCTGGAAGGGGAGATGTGGAGAGGAAGAGGGAGGCACGGAGGTGCAGCACGCTCCACCCGCTGTTCACGTCTATTGCCACCAGCGCCTCCGTCTCCTCTATCACCAGGGAACCGCCGCCTGCCAGGGGGACACTGGTGTGCAATGTGGGGAGAGGGAGGGAGATGTCTGGAAGGGGAGATGTGGAGAGGGAGAGGGAGGCACGGAGGTGCAGCACGCTCCACCTGCTGTTCACGTCTATCGCCAACAACGCCAACATGTACAAGGGTTGGGATTATATGGCATGTAGGGGAGGGCATACCAGCGGTGCAGTGCGGAGAGCAGCGCAGGCTCGATGTGGGCGGTGTCGAAGATGGGCGATGGACCTGCATGCAGCTGCACCCGGCCGCACAGCGCCGGCTGCATGCGCTGTAGATACGCCTCCAACTGGAATCAACAAGACACAAGCACACATGGGGGGGGGGGGGGGGGGGGGGATAGCATTTTAGTTGATCTTGGGCGGTTTTTTGAAAAGGGGGAGGGGTAACGGGGGGAAATGACAGGAGTCCATATCTTTAGGTGTCGGAACGATGGGTGCCGGGCCCATCGTTGGGGGAACCTGATGGGGAACCTGATGGGGAACCTGATGGGAGAAACTGATAGGGGAAACTGATACGGGAAACTGATAGGGGAAACTGATACGGGAAACTGATAGGGGAAACTGATACGGGAAACTGATAGGGGAAACTGATACGGGAAACTGATAGGGGAAACTGATACGGGAAACTGAGGGAGAAGGGGATGGAATGAGGGAGAAGGGGATGAAACGAGGGAGAGGGCTTACCTCTTGCAGGAAGGCAGGCGAGTCCACCACTAGGCGCGACACCTGTGGTGAGGTGGGGCGTTGAGGGGAGGAAGACGGTCAGGTAGTACAAGGGATGTTGGGAGGAAGGAGGTTGAATGTGGATGATGGAAAAGAGAGGGTGGTGGATGAGGAGAGAGGGGTGGTGGATGAGGTGAGAGGGGTGGTGGATGAGGTGAGAGGGGTGGTGGATGAGGAGAGAGGGGTGGTGGATGAGGTGAGAGGGGTGGTGGATGAGGTGAGAGGGGTGGTGGATGAGGTGAGAGGGGTGGTGGATGAGGTGAGAGGGGTGGTGGATGAGGTGAGAGGGGTGGTGGATGAGGAGAGAGGGGTGGTGGATGAGGAGAGAGGGGTGGTGGATGAGGAGAGAGGGGTGGTGGATGAGGAGAGAGGGGTGGTGGATGAGGTGAGAGGGGTGGTGGATGAGGAGAGAGGGGCAAAGGGGCGTGGGATGATTGAGCAGTGGTTCGGAGGCTAATGAAATGAAGCACAAGCAACCAAGTCGATGCCCAAGTCAGTGACTAAGCACTTGAAGTCACCAGCGTCTCCATCACCACGTGGGCCATGCTTCCTGTGACCCGCAACGTTGGTCTGTAGTGAAACCCCATGTGTGACCCACCCCACTTGCTGGGAGTGCTATGTGAAGCTCCTACCTTGACATGCTCCTGTCTCTTACATCGCCCACCTGGTGGTGCTGCACTAGAAGAGAGTGAATGACATCCAGAGCCATGGGGGTGCCCTGCAGCAGCAGCGTGGGTCCCACAGCCGGCACGTCCGCCACGCTCCTCACATGCCCCGCCACCGCATTCGCGCGCGCCAGCACTGCTCTCCACCGCGCCACCAGCTCCGCCAAATCCTCCCCCAGCTCCGCCTCCCCCCTCCCCACCGCCGCCTGCCGCACCTGCTTGCGGGAAGCGGTGGGGTGCGCGCAGTGAAGGGCAGGCTTGATCAAGGCGCACAAGGCAGGCGGCGTGAAATCATTTTGCTTTTGAGACGTCCCAAAAACAATCTAATATCACCTGGCTAGGGTGCGAGCAGCGAAGGGCAGGCTTGACCAAGGCACACAAGGCAGGCAGCGGCAATGCGGGCTGTGCAATAAGAGGGGAGCGGTGAGTATAGAGGTGGGGAGAGGGAACAAGCGCAGAGGGGAGAGGGGAGCAGAAGAAAGGGCGCAGCACCTGGATGGAGAAGGAGCGAGTGGGTGCGAGGCGGGCAACAATGGCCTGAATGCGTGCTGCCTCCTCTGCTGCCACCCCCCTCGGCATCACCAACCCTGTTCCCCGCAGCACCAGCCGCTGATGGGCGCAGGGGAGAGAGCAGCGGGAGAAAGAGGACGAGATGGAGAGATCGGGGATGGGAGGAAAGGATGGGGGGGAAGATGAAAGCTGAAGGTGAGAGAGAGGAAAGGGGAGAGACGAATGAAGAGAGAAGCGGAGTGAGGTCAAGGAGTGCAAGCAGCACTCACAAAGCAGCGGCCTGCGAGCACAGGGAAGGCCCGCAGCACGAAGTCCTTGGCGCCGATGGGCCCGCGCACCACCTGCACCAGAAGGTGACTTTTGAGTCGACTCTACAGTGCAAAGAGCACTCACAAAGCAGCGGCCTGCGAGTACAGGGAAGGCCCTGAGCACGGAGTCCTTGGCACCGATGGGCCCTCGCACCACCTGCACCAGAATCAGCATGCCCGCCCGCACCTCCCCCCACTCCTCATACTGCTCCTCCTCCTCCTCCTCCTCCTCCTCCCGCTCCTCCTCGCCCTCTGCTCCCCCCTCCCTCGCCTCCTCGCTCCCCCTCGTCCCCCCGTTATCCCCTCCCTCAATGCCCCCCGCTCGTCTCGCTCGCTCTCTTGCCGCCCGCCGCGACTCCATGAGCTGGCGCCACGTCAGCGACCACGCGGCCGAGCGGCGGCTCCTCGGCTGGCCTCGGGAGCCCGGGATGACTGTCAGCCGCCCGCCGCCCAGCCTGCCGCCCGCTGCGTAGGGCGGCGCACTTACCCTCGGGCGGCGCACCCCTGGCAGTGGCTCACCCCCCCAGGTGGACTCACTTGTTTTGGCAGTAGCATCTACCCACCCACTCCCCCCTTCCCCCTCTCCCCCCACCGCCCCTCCCCCTGACCCCCCTTGCCTGCTCTGTCCACTGCCCTCATCCCTTCCCCCCCTTATGCCTTCCGCCCACCCCTTGCCTCCAGCGCCCTCCTTCCCCCCTTGCCCCTTGCTGCCGCCTCCCCCCCGCTTCCTCCTCCCCCTGGCGCTGGCAGGGGCGGGGGGGGCGGGGGGGAGGGGGAGGTTGAGCTGCTGGGAGAGCAGGGCGGAGTAGCGGCGGCGGGGGGAGGGGGAGAGGGGCAGGGGGAGGGTGGCAGCGAGGGAGAGCAGGCGGGGGCGGCCGGACGGGCGGCGCAGAGGGGGGTCTGGCTGCTGCTGCTGCTGCTGCTGCTGCTGCCTCCTCCCCTGCTGCTGCTCCTCCTGCTGTTGCTCCTCCTGCTGCTGTTCCTGCGCCTCCTCTGCCCTTGCGCCTGCCTCTCTTTCCTCTACATCCGCTTCCCTCTCATCTGCCCTCCTACCTGCCCCTTCCTCGTCCCTGCTTTCACTGCTGCCGCCGCCGCTGCTGCTGCCGGTGGTGGTGGTGGTGATGGTGGAGGTTGGAACAGGAAGACGCGGAGCAGTAGCAGAACGGGCACGAGGGGAGGGGGGTGGCGATGGGAGGGAGGGTTTGGGGTACAGCGGGACAGGGTTGGCGGCCGGGTGGGGAGGGGCAGAAGGGTGGAGAGAGGCGGGTTCAGTGGGGAACGCGTTGAGAGCATCAAGCTGTGGTGGTGTGGGCAGGGGTGAGGGCAGGGGTGAGGGCAGGGGTGCAGCAGGGTCAACAAGGGGGTCTGCTGATGCGAGGGCAGGGGGGAGGGAGGGCAATGGGAGGGCAGGCTGGAGTTGCAGAGGAGGGGGTAGGGAGGAAGGGGGTATGGAGGGCGGGGAAGGGTCAGGCAGGGGGAGCGGGCGGGTGTGCAAGGCGAGAGAGAGGGAAGAGGCGGCATGAGCAGGCAGGCACTCGGTTAAGCCATTGGTGGGGTCCCGACTGTCATTCCCATTCCCTGCCTTCCCCACCACCTCTACTGCTGCTTCTTCCTTCTCCTCCTCAGGCTTCTGTTCCCCCCCATGCTTCTTCTCTGCCTCCCCACTGCTCCCCTCCTCTTCCTCCTCCTCCTCCTCCTCCTCCTCCTCCTCCTCCTCCTCCTCCTCCTCCTCCTCCTCCTCCTCCTCCTCCTCCTCCTCCTCCTCCTCCTCCTCCTCCTCCTCCTCCTCCTCCTCCTCTTCTTCCTCCTCTGCTTCCTCCTCCTCGTCCTCATCCTCCTCCTCTTCTTCTTCCTCCTCCTCCTCCTCCGCCCAATCATCACCAGCGCCCATGCCTCGCCTCCTCAAAGCCTTCTTCCTCTGCCGCTTCCCATCTGCCCTCGCTTCTTCCTCCTCCATCTCCCATTCCTCCTCTTCCCCCTCCTCCCACCCTACTCCTTCCTCTGCCTCCTCCTCCTCACTCAACTCCTCAACATCACCTTCCACACGCTCCCACCCCTCTCTCTCATCCTCACTCCCTTCTGTTCCTTTCAATTGCCGTGACATGGCATCGCCATGAGCATCAACATCCGGATCAGCAGCAGCAGGCAAGGGAGAAGCAGCAGCAGGCAAGGGAGAAGCAGCAGCATGCCTGGCATCACTGCTGCTGTCGTCCTCGAGGTCAGTCTCGAACTCACCCTCCACGTCTACCCACTCCTCTTCTTCCTCCCCTTCCACCTCCTCCTCCTCCCCTTCTTCTTCTTCTTCTTCTTCTTCTTCTTCCTCCTCCTCCTCCTCCTCCTCCCCCCCATCCTCCTCTTCTATCCACTCCTCTTCCATGTCATCCAGTGCCTCTCCCTCCCCCTCTTCTTCACCTTCCTCCTCCTCCTCCTCCTCCTCCTCCTCCTCCTCCTCCTCCTCCTCCTCCTCCTCCTCCTCCTCCTCCTCCTCCTCCTCCTCCTCCTCCTCCTCCTCCTCCTCCTCCTCCTCCTCCTCCTCCTCGTCTCCCTCCTGCGCCATATCATCCACATGCCACTCATCCAGGTCCTCTTCGTGACCCTCATCGTCTTCCTCTCCTTCCTCTCCTTCCTCGTCGTCCTCTTCCTCCTCTTCTTCTTCCTCTTCCTCAAAAGCATCATCATCATCATCACCATCCTCTTCATCCCCTTGCATACCTGCCACCACCACTGCACCCCTCTCCTCCCTGCCTCTCGCTTCCCATCCCTGAATCAACCCCCTGCCCTCGACCCCCACGCCCACCCACACGCCGGCACTACCTTCCACTGCACCCGCCCCACCGCCCATCTCCCCCCGGCCCACCACCATGCCAGCCCCGGCAACAGCAAGCCCACCAGACTGCCTCCCTGCATCCCACCCTGCTCCCATACCTGACTCCATCCCTGCCACCGCACCATTCTCTCTGCCTCTCTCACTGTATGTGGGTGCGCCTGCATCAATCCCTGCCCCTCTGCCAGTCTCTGTCTCTGTCTCTCCCTCTGCCCCTGTCCCTGTCCCTTCCCCAGCGCCTGTATCCCCACCACCGCCCCCAACCACAGCCGTGTCAACCCATGCATGCGCAAGGGCAGAGTCACCCCCAGTGGGCGGGAAGGTGAGGGGGCGGTCGTTGTGGGCGAGGTTGAGCAGCGAGGGCGCGGCGCCCCCAATGTCGACAAACGCGGCCTTCATGCCCGGATGCAGCGAGCGGATCACCCCTAGGTACACGTCCCCCACGCGCACCCCCCACGGGGCTGGGGCAGGGGGAGGAGAGGGCAAGGGAGGTATGGGAAAAACGCTGCTGCCTGCTGCTGACGCGGCTGGGAATGGGGATGTAGCTGGGTTGGGTGGGGTGAGTGGGGTGAGTGGAGTCGGAGCAGCAGCAGTGGTGGTGGGGTGGATGATGGGGCTGCGAGGGGAGGAGCGGAAGGGCAGAGCGGGCTGGGGGAGGGAGGGGGGCGGGGTGGAGGCGACAATGAGTTCCACGAGGCGCCCCTCCTCCACCACTGCCACTCGCTGCAGCCCCACTGAGGAGCAGTTCACGTAGATCGACACGCCCCCTGGGGATGCTGCTGCTGCTGCTGCTGCTGCTGCCTGTGATGCTGCTGCTGATGCTGATGCTGATGCTGGGGGCGGTTTAGAGGTTAGGCTTCTGCCCCTCGCGTCGCCCTCAGCATCAGCGGCAGCGGCCGCCTTGAGAGCCTCCAACATGCCCGCTCCCAGCCCGCCCTGCCCGCCCTGCCCTGCCTGCGCTGCCTGCCCGCCCTGCCCTGCCTGCGCACCTGCTGCCTTCCCCTCCTTCGCCTCACCCGTCACCCTCTCCCCCTCGTCCCGGGCCCCCTCGTTTGCCCCGTCCGCCCTCCCTGCCCACGCCCGCCCCTTCTCCTCCCCTTCCGCCCCGTCGCCCTCCGCCCCCTCCCTCTTTGACCCCTCCCCTCTTGCCCCCTCGCCCTGCGTCTCTCCCCTTGCCGCCAGCGCCATGAGCTGTTCGTCGCGCTGCTGGGCGGCTCTCAGCGCGGAGAGCGCGGACAGGGCGGCCAGGCGCAGCCGCCACGCGCCAGTGGGGGCGCCGCCACTGCCGCTGCTGGGGTTGGGCGTGGGGATGTTGGCAGGCATGGGGGTGGGGTTGGCAGGCATGGGGGTGGGGATGGCAGTGCTGCTGCTGCTCGCACTGGGAGCGGTGTTGATGCTGGCAGCGCCACTACCACCACCCACAGCGCCAGGGCCTAAGGGCAGGCCGCCAATGGCGCTTACCCCGCCTGCTGCTCCCCCTGCGTCCTCGCCCTTGCCCCCTCTTCCTCGTGCCACGGTAGGTGCCATGCGTGCTCCGCCTGCTCTCTCCCGCCCTTTCCCTCCCCCAACTCTCCACCTGCTCTGGCCGCCTTCCCCCTCCTCGTCCTCCTCTAAATCCTCCTCAACATCCCAATCCTCCTCCCCTCCTTCCTCCCCTTCTTCCTCCCCCTCCCCCTCCCACCCATCCTCCCACTCCCCCTCATCTTCCATTCCCCCCTCGCCATCTGCCTCTCCCTCTCCCATTCCTGCAGCCCCGCATGTTTCCGCCGCAATCGGCGCTTTCTCTCCTCGCGCTTCCCCCAGTCCCGGACCGTCAGTCCCCCTATCATCCCCCACCCCATTCCCGCGCATTCCCCCGCCACCAGCCCCAGCCCGCCCCCCCAACCGCGCGCCCCTTTCCGCTTCCCCAGCCCAGTCCTCGTCCAAATCCCCCTCCACTTCCCCTTCCAAGCTTCCGCCGTCGCGCCATGAACCCTCCGCCCCCCGCACCCCCTCCTCTTCCGCTCGGTCCCCCGATTCCCTTGAGTCGCCGTGCCTTTCCCCCTGCACTGCGCGCAACTTCCGCCCTCTCAGCTTCTCCCCTCCGCCTCCCCTCGCCGAAGTGCATCGTCCGCCGATGCGACTAGCCGAGGGGGACCTATGCAGCAGGCGCGTGGAAATTACCTGCTGCGGGTCGCGCCTGCATCTCGGCAACTCGCGCCGATGCTCGCGGGAGGCGGAGACGAGCGGCGCTAGAGGGGCGGCTGTGACGACAGCGTGGGGGGCGGTAAAGGGAATGGGGGTGGAAAGTGACATGGAGCAGTCGCAAAGCGCGATGGAGAGGGACGAAACGAGCGGAGAGAGCGAAGAGAGCGTGACGTGAGTGCCTGCGACGGCTGCCCGGCGCGCATGCTGCAATCGACGCGCTTTGAGCTGCTGGCCCGCGCTGATTTGGGTGATCTGTGTGCGAAGGATGAGTCGATTGGCGCCAATTCGCGTAAAGTGTAACTGCCATTGGGCTTGGAAGTGGATAGTGATGGTGGGGCAAAATGAATCGACTCGATATGATATCACGCGATATGACAAACAGCCAAAGGTTTGAGCTAGTGTAATTCTAATTCGAGCAGCGCTAACTGAAAATGTATCAGTAGAAAAAATCAACGTTCCTACAGTCGCCAATACTTGGCGGATTCAGCTTTCTCAATCACGAGTCGGAGAGGCTCAAGTCGCTGCTCCTTGTCACGCACGCTGCTCTCAGTTGTTTGTGTTCGAATCGAAGTTGCTCGTCAAGCAGTTCAGCCAATACCAACGAGGTCGGCCCGATCCATTCTTCTCGTCTCCGTATGGCCGCCGTCGCGACACGGCGCGCAATTCGCTGATGCCTCGCACAGCGCCCTCCTGCACGCCCTTCCGCCTGCTCGCGATCGCCGCGCTCTCGCTGCTGCACCTCCGCCTCTTCCTCGCGCGCTACTTCCCCCAGCCCCCCGCGCCCTTCCGCGACTGCCCCGACACCGCCTCCGACGTCTCCGCCTTGCGCTCGGCGTTCCGCAAATGCCAGGGGGAGCTCGTGCACCGGCGCGTGGCTGCGCGGAGTGCTTATAACGATGCCTCGGCGGGCGGGGGGGATCTCGATGAGCGCTGGCTCGCCGAGAGCGCAGTCGCCGCCGTGCATCACGGCGCTGGGGGCGGCGGGGAGGGCGGCGCAGATTCTGTTTCCGCGGAATACGCGCGGAGGCGGGACGCGCATCTGACGCGCTTGCAGGCGGACAGGCTGAGCGAGTGCGCCGCATCCGACGCGGAGCTGAAGCAATTCCTGCGCTTCCATCCGCACGCCACGTGTCCCGATGACTGGGAGCTAGCCCACCGCCTCCGCTTCACCGACCATTGCTACGTCATCCCTCCCCGCGCGTGCCTTTCCCCCACCCCCCCTGACCCCGTGGAGCCCCCGTTGCATCCGGAGGCGCTCTGGACGCCGCTAGACGGGCGCAGCGTGCGGTGGGAGCGCTACGACTGCGCTGACGTGGCATGCATCGAACGCAAGCTGGCAGCATTTGCTGCAGGCGCTGCTGCGGACGCTGCAGCTGTAGAGGCTGTAGCGCGAGCGGTCAACTCGAGCCTGGACCCATTTCCTTGGGAGCGGCGCGAGGGGGAGAGCAAGCAGGATGAGCGGGGGAGGGGGAGGAGCGGGCGGGCAGGCGGAGAGAATGGGGGGGTAAGGGAGGGAGACGCGGCGAGTGGCTGCAGCAGGGATGGATGGGCGGGTGGGGCCGCGTGCTTCCAGTTCACGCGCCCCTCCGCCAGCAGCGCGAGCGGCGGCAGCGGCGGTGGCCGTGGCCGTGGCAGTGGCAGTGGCAGTGGTAGTGTTAGTGGTAGGAGCGGGCGCAGCAGTCCCATGACTCATGCTGCGAGTGGCAATACGGAGGAGGCAAGTGCAAGAGAGATGTTCCACATTCGCGACCTCATGCACCTCAAGGGGGGTGCTGTGAGGTTGGGGCTGGACCTGGGCGGCGGAACCGGGCAGTTTGCCGCCCAGATGGCACTGCACAATGTGACCATCCTCACTGTTCAGTCCAACCTGATTGGCTACCCTGATGCCTCGAAATTGCCTTCAGGCCAAACTGTCGTGGACACTACTGCAAGCAGCAGCACCATCAGCACCACCAGCAGCAGCAGTACGGGCAGTATCATTGGCAGCAGCAGCAGCAGCAGCAGGGTGGCAGTGCCGTTTCAAGAGGCACTGGCATGGCGGGGACTGGTGGCGGTGGACATGCCTCTCACAGCGCGCCTGCCCTTCTTTGACGCCTCATTGGACCTGCTCCATGCCACCGGCACCGCCGGTCCTGCGCTCCTGCAGGGCGTCGACGCTCTGCCGCCCAGGGACTTCCACCTCGCGCTCTTTGACTGGGACCGTTTGCTGAGGCCGGGCGGCATTCTTTGGCTGGAAGCGATAGAGCACAGTGCGGATGCAATGCCGCTGTATGAGGCGGCTCTAGAGCGGCTGGCATATCGTGTTGTATTCGTGAGGAAGCTGGATGCGGTGGTGGGAGGGGTGCTGCACAGGCATGTGCAGCGATTGTGGGTTGTTCTAGAGAAGCCAGTTGAACAGAGGGCTGGGGCCAGCTCAGATAGTCGTGGGAAGAAGGGGAGAGAGAGCAGACAAGTGCACTCCTTTGATCCAAATGTCCTCACTTTGATGAGCTGAAGTATGTACAACTTTTGTGCTCACAACTTCAGCAAAAACATAAGCAAACAAAAAATGAGGCGGACGTGTCTAAGATCGTTGTTCAGGAATGTGGATGCCTTGGCACTACCTTTGTGTCTTTTGTTTGTTTCAGCCATTGCACGTATTTTGAATGAATGAGAGCACTAGTTATGCTACATGGGCTACACTTTACCTCACATTACGAACACACTATAGTTCCAGTTAGGTTTGGTTTGTGTTGAGCAAGCCGAACCCCCTGATGCAACCTTGCTGAGTGAGCGAGCGCACGCCACGGCGAAGGTATGCCCGACACCCAACCAACAAGCGCAGGCTCGGGCAAGTGGCGCGTGCTTGTGGCCACCTAAGCCTCGTGTGGTTGTCGGCGAAGGTGCATATCGAAGCTTCGCTTGCTTGGGGTGGGGACCTGTGCCATGTTGGCTTCGGGGACGGGCACAGCGGTGTACAGTACTGCAATGTACTGTACTGTACTGTTTTCGGTCCAACCACCCGTTGCAGACATTCCCAAACCCAGCACAGCAAACTCAGTTGCGGTTGGCCTCAGCATTTCGCACCTCGCCATGTGTCAAAGAATAACCAATCATGAAGCACCTTCGCGTTATGTTTACGCGGTTGACTCAGTGACGTGGTGCCAGCGTACAAGCGCAAGTCGCCATCCAGCCAGTACCCAGCCACTGCCTATCTCTTCCCTCTCCAGGTGTGCGGAGCAGGGCCTAAAAGCCTTCGCTGCTGACGTGGTTGAGGTGGCTGCACAGCTAGCCCGTGACAAACTTCCCGTGGGTTCTCAGCCACAGTAGCGAGCATGGCGACACGGCCAAGTCGCGGTGGAGATTTGAGCGCGGCCCGGGTGGCATACCCTGCAGCATTGGCGAATGGGAAGTGCGACATTCTGCTGAGTAAGCTCGGGAGGCAAGCCCAAGGGGGCGTCGAACGGATGCAGTGCGCTTTTTTGCATTGTCCTCTCCGCTTCTTGCCTCCCTCGCTCGCTCGCCTCTGCTTGGCCCTGCTGATTCTGCGCTGTGCTGCGCTGTCATGGCGAGTCGAGTTGTGGTAGGCTGTGACCGCACGACAACAAGGTGAAGCGGATCCATGGAGGACGGTCCTTCTCCAGCACACTCAAAACTTTGTGCGACTGGAGTACCAACACAACTTGGATTAATAGACCTCAGCTCAGAGACCAGCACCGCAGGGGCAGACGAGAGATAGAAGTTTCGAAGCCAATTTCATTCGCATCCAAGCAAACGCGCTCGAGCATTTAGTTCAGTATTTCGTGTCGCTAGCAAAACGTTGAAACCTATCTCATTTTTTTCGATCGCTTCATGTCATCGCTTCAGTTCCTTGCAATGCCGCTAGATCGATCGTTCGCCAGTGCCTCTCAAAAGCCAGTTCCCGGTTCGACCTTTTCCCGCCCGCAGCCCGCCATGCTCCTTCAACAGCTATCGCGCGACCCCGCGCAGCGGGAGGAGCAGCTCGGCGTTTTGCTCCAAGACAGCCCAGCGGGCTCCACCCTACCCGCCTGGCTCCTCGCACACACCAACCCCGCCGCCGCGGTCGCCGCTGGCGCGTTACGCGCTAGACCAGCTGCCGACTGCGCATACCCGGATGCGCCACACTCAAATGACAATCACGACGCCCAGGTGCTGTTCCGACCGACCGCCATCCGCGCTCCTCCCAACAGCGGCGCGGACGAGGCTCGGTCGGATGAGCCTGCGCTTCGAGGGGATGTTCCCGCGCTCGCGAAGAAGAGGAGGTTTGCGCAAGTGGCGGCGGAGGACGAGGAGGTGAACAGCAGCCACCGCAAGTCGCCGCTTTGCTCACCTCCTCGGCCACCCTCGAAACGACCTGCGCTCGCCGAAGCCGCAGCTCCCGTAGCGTCAAGAATTCCGCCAAACGAGGAATCCTCGAGGGCTCAAGGAGTTTCACCGAGCGCGCTACAGCCTGACGCTACACTCAGCCTGGCGGAGCGACTCTCCCGCTACGACCAGCTAACGGCGTCCCTCCGTTCCTCCCTTCCGCATGGCAACCTGAGCAAGTGGGACGTGGCGGTGGGGCGGCTGCGGGAGCGCGTGGCGCAAAAGCCGGAGTTTGGAAGCAACGTGAACCAGTTCCTCGTGTTCCTGCACAGCCAGCTGCGCGGATCGCAACAGCCCTCCGCGCGCGCCGCTCTGCACCAGTTCGCCGCGCTCATGCGCGCCAGGTGCCAGCAGAAGCAGCAGCGAGCGGAAGGTGGTAACCAGAGCGTGGTTGGGGACAGCGGGAGCGCTGGGGGCTTGGGTGACTTGCATGTTGCCGCGGAGGGGCTTGGTGCTGTGGAATGCGATAGGGGAAGTGTGGCAGAGAGGAAAGTGGAACTCCAGTGGCTTCTCCGATAGACACGAGGAAGAAACACCTCATTATACTCTTCAGAGATACTCAGGAAAATCACAGTTGCTGTATTTATGATGGCTGCTTTGAGTGTATAGAGCAGATTTGCCCTTGGTCACTAGTATCTCTGTTCTATCACATGGATCTCTTACAAAAATAAATTTGGCAACCTGCCATTGCCAGGTGCATCTTGTTAATCCTGACTGCTGCAAGCAATACATTGCAACATGCACATACATGGATGCATTCAACTCTATACAAGCACGGGCTGATAAATAGCCACCTCTTTCAAACTAGACCTAGCTTCCTGCTCCATCCCTGCACCAGCTAGCACAGGTGTTGTCTCCCCAGATATCACCTGCCCGCAGCCTTGACTCTCCTGTGCAGGACTGCTTCCCAGCAAAGTGATGCTAACCTCCTCATGGATCCCACTTGCACCTGCCCCTCCATCACCCCCCCCTGCCTCCACCTGCTCGCCACCTTGCACATGCATGCTGCTCCCCTCACCTTCATTCTGCACCGCCCCGCCACTCCCATCCCCCATAAATTTCGCTTCAATGTCACCACCGCCACCATCGTTCTCAGGATCACCACCAGCATTAGTAGCAGCAGCAGGTAGGCGTGGTGGTGCCTTGCGGGCGCCGAGCACGAGGGGGGAGAGGTCGGGGTAGAGGTCCAGCACCAGCATGTTCTGCAGCCCCACCCGCTCCTCCCCCCTTCCCCCCTCCGCCGCTCCCGCTGCCCCTTCCTTCCCTGCTCCTGCTGCCGCTGCTGCTCCTGCCGCTGCTCCTGCACCTGCCCCTGTCGCATCTCCTGCTGCTGGTGCGCCTTCCTCCCCACCTCCTGCACCAGCAGCAGCAGGAGCAGAAAGCTCTTCGTCCCAAAGCTCGTAGTTGCCACTGGCGGTCTCGTCGCACTGCATGCGTGCACGCACCTCCATCGCCCACTCATTCCCCGCCTTGAACGGCAGTGGGGACGACAGCCCCCCATGCAGGGATGACGGCAGCATACCCTCGCTCTCTTCCCCCGGCACCACCATCGCCACCCACGGCACTTCCGCCGCTGCTGCCGCCGCTGCCGCTGCCGCCGCCGCTGCTAACGCCAGGGCTACAGCCTCTTCGCCTGCAGTCAACAGACTCATGCCGTCATGCATCACCCCATGGCTTCCCCCGCCTCCCCCCATGAGTGGCAGGCTCACCGCCCCCATCCCCTTGAACCCCAACTTGTGCCCCACGCCCCCCTTGTGCCCGGCTTTGAACACCGTCACTGCGCGCGCGGCGCGTGAGACCACCCCTCCATGCCCGCTGCCGCTGCTGCTGCTGCCCCCGTGGCCACGCCTGCCGTGCTGCGGGCTGCCTGCCCTCTTGCCCACGAGACGGCGCCAGTTGCCTTTGGAGGGCCCGTGGGAGTCAGCATCAGGGTCGGTGGAGTGGGCAGAAGAGGAGGAGGAGGGGGCAGCAGTGGTGGCGGAGCGCGAGAAGATGGACTTTCCAACGATGCGGGGGCTGATCAGCGCTGATGCCACCGACGCCTTGCCCCCACTCCCTGCTGCTCCCCCGTGCCTCCTCCCACCCCCGGCGCCACTGGAACCACCGGCACCAGCAACAGCAGCAGCAGCAGCAGGAACAGCAGCTGAACCAGTACCACCTGCAGCACCACTGCCATGAGCCGCAGCACCGCTCCCCACCCCTGGGCCGCCACCCCACCACCCCCTCTCCTTGTTCATCCTCAGCCTCCCCAGGCTGCCCGGAACCCGCCGCTTCCCTGAACCTTTGTCGAAGCTGCCCGACTTGCGGTGTTTCATCTGCCCGGCTGGCGCAGACATGGAATTGCGGGCGGCAATCAGAGGGGAGAAGCCAGGAATAGGGCGCTGGGGGGAGGCTGGGGGGAGGGCGGGTTGAGAGGGTTTGGAGGCATATTGTGAGGTTTGGTGTGCGGCGCCCACACTCATGCTACGGAACCCCCCCTGTGCTGCCGGGGCGGTCTGTGCCTGGTGCAGTTTCTGCAGCTGCTGCTGCTGCTGTCGCTGCAGGGGAGTGAGGCGAGGAGCATGGGAGGTGGCATGAGCAGGCGAGCGGGCAGGTGAGAGAGTGTGCGGGATGGCAGAGGGTGCGGTGAGCGATGGAGCGGCAGTGCGACCCTGCGCCTGCCCCTGCTGTCCCTGCTGCTGCTGCTGCTGCAGGGGGGTGCGGCGGGGAGGTGTGTGCAGAGCCGACGCTGCCTGCTGGTGGGGAGGCAGGGCCTGCTGGTGGGGAGGCAGGGCCTGCTGGTGGGGAGGCAGGGCCTGCTGGTGGGGAGGCAGGGCCTGCTGCAGGCTCGCCTGTGGAGATGCGTCTCGCGGCTTCAGCGGGGACAGCTGCCTCTCATACTGCTGCTGCCCGCCATGCCACTGCCCGTCCGCATCCCCGTCCGCCCCGCCACCCTGCCCCGCACCACCATGCAGCGCCAGGTGCGCCTCCCACTGCTCGCCATCACCCCACGAGCTGCCCGCCTCCGACCCCGGCCCATCTGACACCAGCGATGCTGCGCTGCCAGGGGCAGCAGCGGGGGACAGGGCCAGGCCGTGCGCATGGGCGTGGGCGTGCTCGTGAGCGCCCTGCAGGCGGCAGGGGGTGGTCTGGTGGCGCATGAACAGGTGGTCGGGGGACTGCTCCCACTCGCCCCCGCTGCTGCTGGGGGGGGACGACACTCCCCCGTCTGCTTCAGAAGGGTCACCCACACCGGAACCCCTGCCAGCATTGCCTGCACCACCAGTACTGCCAGCACCATCCGCACGGGCAGCACCGGCAGCACCGCCACCAGTGCGAGCACCAGTGGCAGCTGGTGCAGCAGACGGAGCATGAGCGGCAGCGGCCGATACATCGGAAGCTGCAGCTGAAGCAGCAGCACCAGCAGCAGCAGCAGCACGGCGGCCAGCAGCAGCAGCAGCATCTGCCGTGCTCCCTGCGGGAGCGGGAGGCGCGGAGTGCACATGGGGCCAGATGTAGGAGGGATGGCGCACATGAGAGAGCGCAGGGCGCGCAGAGGGGGGTGAGCCCGAGGGGGGCCGAGGGCGCATGGGAGAGGCGGCGGCTTGAGACGGGTGGGGCATGGCAGGGAGGGGGCGGTGGGATGCGGAGGCAGGGGCAGGGTGGGGAGCGGCGGAGGGCGGGTGGGAGGTGGGCGAGGGGAGGGAGTCAGAGGCGGGAATGCCTGCCACCGTGCACACCATGCGCTGCTTCTGCCTTGCCGCCAGTGCTGCTGCCGAAGCTGTTGTGGACGCCGATGCTGCTGCTGATGCTGGTGCCGATGCCGCTGGTGCAGATGGCGATGCTGAGGATGATGAGGGGGGAGAGGGGGAGGGGGTCCTCTCGCGATGGAGAGGGGCCTGCCGGCGCTGCGCCTGCTGCTGCAGCTGTGGCTGCTGTGGCGGCGGCCGTGGCTGCAGGAATGGCAGCTGAGGCGAGTGGACCGTTGAATCATCCCCCACGAGGCTGCCCACCTGAAAGCCCAGGCCGTCAGCAGCACGGCTCAGGTCCACACTCGCAAACCGCATGTGCCGCCTCCCACCCGCGCGGCCCCGCCCCCTGCCACCACCGCCTGGCACCGCACCCAACCGCCCTGGCCCTCTTCCTTCTGATCGCACACCCTCTGCCAGCGCTCTGGGCGCCCCCCCAGCCTCACCCTCCCGCCCGGCGCCTCCCCGCCCCTCCGCCCCTCCCACACCTGCTCCCGTGCCAGTTCCCACGGGGCCTCCAAGGGGGGCAGCCATGGCATCCTTGTCGGCAAAGAGGCGCGCCGACAGACTGATGGAGCGCTGAAACACAATGCCCGCCTCCTCGCCTTCCGCTGCTGCCGCCGCTACTGCTGCCCCTGATGCTCCTCCCCCTCCTCCACCTCTTCCTTCCCCTCCCCCTCCTCCTTCCACACCTGCTGCTTGCCCGCACCAACCATCACCTGTCTGTCGGTCACCCCCCCGCCCCCGCCCCCTTCCCCCATCCGGCCCCTGCCCCCGCCCCCGCCCCCGTCCCCGCCCACCTCCCCCTTCTTGCCCCCGCCCCTGCCCCTGTGGCAGCAACCGCTGCTGCAGCATGCGAGGGGCGCCTGTGGGGGGTGCCGTGGCGGCAGAGGCAGGGGCGACGGGCGCAGCAGGAGGTGCAGCAGCAGCGGCAGAAGTGGGGGAGGGCAGGCGGGGCGCAGCAGCTGCTGCAGGCACAGACAGCACATCTGACACTGACCCAGGTCCCCTCCCCCTCCCTCTCCCTCCTGCTCCCACCCTCCCCCCACCGCTGCCACCTCTCCCAACTCCCATGGCCCCTCGCCCTCGGCCTCGCCCCCCTCCCAGCGCCACCGGGGCACCTGCGCTGGCCTCACTGCCTCCTACTGCTGCTGCCGCTGCTGCTGCTGCTGCGAGCACTGGGCTCTGAGCGCGCTGGAAAGAGGGCATGTCAGCGGGCTGTGCTGGTGCGACTAGGGGCACAGGTGGCGGCTGTGCCTGTGCCTGTGCCTGTGTCTGTGTCTGTGTCTGCGTGCCCAGGAGTGCGAGCATGGACATGTGTGAGAAGTCACCTGACATGCTCCGCGCCCTCATTCCCCTCCCTCCCCTGCCCACGCCCCGCCCTGCTGCCCCTGCTCCTGCTGCACCCACGCCGCCACCCCTGGCACCCATCTGCACCGCATTGCTTGCGACCGCGGAAGGAAAGGGGTCCAGGCTGCGAGGAGCCAGGGAGGAGGATGGTTGTGGCTGCGCCTGTGGATTCAACAGAACGCTCTGCCTCATACCGCCTGCTGCTGCGCTGCTGTTGCCCATTCCTCCCCCAATTACCCCGATTCCGCCTCTACCTCCTGTCCCCATCATACCCATCCCCCGGCTGCTGATCTCTGCTGCTCCCCCCATCCCCACCCCCATCCCCATCCCCATCCCCACCCCCGTCCCCATCCCCATCCCCATCCCCACCCCCACCCCCATGCCCACCCCCATGCCCATGCCCATGCCGCCCATGCCGCCCAGCGCCATGCTGCTCACGTCTGCCAGGCTGCCGCTCCTGCCATGCCGCACCATGCGCGGGGGCCTAGCTCCTGCCTCCCTCCCGCCCGCCATGCCCTGCTGCCTCCGCGCGTCCTGCCCTCGTGCCCCCTGCTGCTGCTGCGCTTGCTGTGCCGGTGCCTGTGGCTGTCGTTGTGCCGGTGCCTGCTGCTGCTGCTGTGGCGGCAGTGGTGGTGGTGGTGGTGGCGGCGGCGGCTGCTGTTGCTGCTGCTGCTGCACGGGTCTCAGGCGGTCCACATTCACTGCATCTGGACCGCTCATGCCTGTGCCCCGCGCTGCCCTCCCCAGCACCAGCACCTCCACCCCTGACACTGCTGCTGCCGCCCTCACAAACTCGTCCTCCTCCTCGCCCTCTCCTCCCCCTGTCCGATCCCCCCAACTGCCGCCCCCACGCTCAGACTCCCCCTGCTGCTCACCCTCCGCCCCGCCCCCTTTTCCTCCCCCTGCCACCCCTCCCCCAGGGGTAGCATCGAGCACGCGCGGGGGGAGGGTGTGGCGGCGCTGCATTCTGCGCGAGGGGCGCAGGGGCGGGGAGGAGGCGCAGGCAGGGGGGAGGGCGGGAGCTGGCGGGGGGACAGGCGGCCTGAGAGGGCGAGAGGAGGCGGAGGAGGAGGAGGAGGAGGAGCGGGGGACAAGAGAGGGCTCGCGAGGGGAGGAGAGGTCACGGGATGGAGAGAGGGACGAACGTGCAGGAGGGAGGCGCTGTGACTGTAGCGGGATGGAGGCTAGGGATTGTGATAGTATCGAGATTGAGACCTGGGATTGTGCCTGTACCGGGATAGAGGTGTGCGAGCGGGACTGTGAGAGGGGTCGCTGGGTGAGGCTGTGTGTGTGGGCAGGGGAGGAACAAGGGACGGTGCCCTCCCCAGCATTGTAGCTCTGAGAGAGTTTTAAACGGGACGGGGAAACCAGCTGCTGCTGCTGCTGCTGTGATGGCGGGGGCAGCGGCGGTGGCGCGGACGCAAGAGAGAGGGCATGGGGGGGTTGGGCGAGGGAGAGGAAGGGCAGGGACGGGCCGAACGCGGACTGGGACATGGAGCGAGACCGCCGCATGTGCTGCTGTGGGGGGGCAGGGGGGGGGGTGTTGGGGGGGGATGGCAGCCGTGGCAGCGGGTGGAACAGGCACGTGCGCGGGGGATGAGGAGGAGCGTGCCACTGCGGAGGGGGGCGAGGGGGAGTGGGCGTTGGGGGGCCAGCGGGGAGGTATGGGGCCTGCGCTTGTAGCGGCGGGTGCAGGGGGGAGTGGCGGAACTGACGCCTGCTGCTCCGCGTGCATCCTTGCACTGTGTGCTGCCATTCGCCCTCTGCCCCCCTCCTGCTCCTCCTGCTCCTCCTCCTGCTCTTCCTGCTCCTGCCGCTGCTGTAGCTGCAGCTCCTGCTGCTGGTGGTGATGCTGCGACTGCTGCTGCCGCAGCCCCGCCTGCTCCTGCCACATGTTCTGCTGCAGGCGCTGCTGCACCCACTGCGGCACCCCCCCTGCCCCATCCGCGGATGTGAAGGACATGGACCGCTCAAGCACCATCGCGCCACCATCCGCCACACCACCCAACGCCCCACCGCCACCAGGTGCAGCAGACTGAGAGGGGTCCCCTGGCGATCCGCTGCTCTGGCCGCCCAGCACGTCCCCAAACGCGCCCTGGCAGAGCGACTGGGATCGCATGATGCGCCCCTGCGCGTTCCCCCCGCGCGCCCTCAGCAGCCCCGGGATGAGCGCCGCCGCGTCTCTTCTCAGCGGCGCCAGTGGGCGCTCCAGCGCCGCGCCCCCCTGCCCCGAGGGGCGCGCAGGCGCGTTACCCGGGCTGCTGGAGGCGGAGGAGGGGCGGTTGAGCGTGCGGGGGGAGCTGGAGTTGGCCTTGCGGAACAACCTTCCGCCCCCAGCCCCCCCTGCGCCCCCTGCGCCCGCCACACCGCCCTCCGCCCCTGCTTGGCCGTTCTGCTCCATGCGCCCATCCCCGCCAGCCATGGCGCCATCATCTAATGCGCCCTGCCTGTGCATCTGCCGCTCCGCGCCCACCCCCGCCTGCGCCCTCTGCTGCGCCTGCTGGCGCTGGTGTGGCGGCAGGCGCATGTGGTGCATGTGGGAGAGCGAGTGGCGGTGCGCGTGGAGGGGGAAGGAGCGGCGGCGGTCAGACGCGTGGGCGGGCGCGTGGCTGAAGGGCGGGTGCAGCGCGGAGGGGAGCGGAGGGTGCGCGGCAGTGGGGCTGCTGGCGGCGCTGGCGGCGAGAGGGTGGTGGGCGCGGGGGGTGTGCGCGGGGCTGGAGGAGACGGAGGAGCAGGGGGCGTGCGGGGGGTGGTTGAGGGGGGGGCGGCTGTTGGTGAGGGAGAGAGAGCGGAGCAAAGACAGGGACGCAGGCAGCTGCTGCTGCTGCTGCTGCTGTAGCTGCTGCTGCTGCTGCTGCTGCTGCTGCTGCTGCTGCTGCTGCTGCTGCTGCTGCTGCTGCTGCTGCTGCTGCTGCTGCTGCTGCTGCTGCTGCTGCTGCTGCTGCTGCTGCTGCTGCTGCTGCTGCTGCTGCTGCTGCTGCTGCTGCTGCTGCTGCTGCTGCTGCTGCTGCTGCTGCTGCTGCTGCTGCTGCTGCTGCTGCTGCTGCTGCTGCTGCTGCTGCTGCTGCTGCTGCTGCTGCTGCTGCTGCTGCTGCTGCTGCTGCTGCTGCTGCTGCTGCTGCTGCTGCTGCTGCTGCTGCTGCTGCTGCTGCTGCTGCTGCTGCTGCTGCTGCTGCTGCTGCTGCTGCTGCTGCTGCTGCTGCTGCTGCTGCTGCTGCTGCTGCTGCTGCTGCTGCTGCTGCTGCTGCTGCTGCTGCTGCTGCTGCTGCTGCTGCTGCTGCTGCTGCTGCTGCTGCTGCTGCTGCTGCTGCTGCTGCTGCTGCTGCTGCTGCTGCTGCTGCTGCTGCTGCTGCTGCTGCTGCTGCTGCTGCTGCTGCTGCTGCTGCTGCTGCTGCTGCTGCTGCTGCTGCTGCTGCTGCTGCTGCTGCTGCTGCTGCTGCTGCTGCTGCTGCTGCAGCTGTTGCTGCTGCTGTTGCTGTTGCTGTTGCTGATACTGCTGCTGCTGCTGTTGTTGCTGCTGCTGCAGTTGCTGCAGCTGTTGCTGCTGCTGTTGCTGTTGCTGTTGCTGATACTGCTGCTGCTGCTGTTGTTGCTGCTGCTGCAGTTGCTGTTGCTGCTGCTGCTGCTCCTGTTGCTGCTGCTGCTGCTCCTGTTGCTGTTGTTGTTGTTGTTGTTGTTGTTGCTGTCTCTGTTGCCAGTACTGTTGCTGCCCCAAACCACCAAAATCCCTGCCCACCTCACCAGTCATGCTGCCACTCATGCTGCCACCCATGCTGTCACTCATGCTGCCACCCATGCTGCCACCCATGCTGCCACCCATGCTGCCACTCATGCTGCCACCCATGCTGCCACTCATCCTGCCACCCATGCTGCCACCCATGCCAGCCTCATCCACGATCCCGTCTCGCGCGCGGCCCATCCATACGCTCTCCTGCCCATGCTCCTCCCTGTACCCCTCATCCCCATTGCTCTCCTCCCTCCCTTCCTCCCTCCCCTCCTCCCTCCCCTCCTCACTCTCCTCCTCACTCTCCTCCTCACTCTCCTCCTCCCTCCCCTCACTTCCCTCCGCACTCTCCTCCGCGCCACTCTCTCCCCTATCCTCCTCCCCATCCACACTCCTCTCCATCACCGACATCCCATCCTCCCCCTCTTCCTCCTCTCCCTCCTCACTTTCCTCCTCCTCTTCTTCCTCCTCCTCCTCGTCCCCGTCGTCCCCCTCGCGCCCCTCCCACGCGCTAGTATCAGCGTCGGAGGTGGTATAACCGCGCGCGTACCCATCAGAATGGTACACACTCCCCGCGCCCCCCTCCCCCGCGCCCCTCTCGTCCCACGCCATCTGCACCCCGAACCCACCTGAACCACTCTCAAACGTCCCCCCATCCAGCTCCGCTTCCGCCTGGCCACCCAGAAATCGCTCCGCCCCGCGCCACTCACTCCCGCGTCGCCCGTCGTCGCAGCCCCCGTCGTCACGCGCCAAGCCCCGTGCGAAGCTAAGCTCTCTCGCGCCGCCCACCAACCCATCCTCCAGCCGCTCCTCCCCGTGCGCCCCCCGCCAATCCCGCGCCCCTCCCCCCTCCACTCCACCCCGCACATCCTCCCCCCCTCTCACCCCATCCCAGACCCCCCTCCCTTCCGCGGCGTGCGCGCGGGCGTCATGCGCGCCCCAGGCGGCGGTTCTGTCGGGGCTGTCCCAACCCACTTCGCCTCCCAGTGCCCGCCGCTGCACGGCTCCTCCTTCCAGCGAGCTGTCTATCGAGTGATCCACTAACGAGTGCTCGTGAAACGAGTATTCCTCATAGGGATGGTGGCGTTGTTCAAACGGGCGGTGCCTATGCTCATGCTCATCGTCATCCTCATCCTCATGCTCATGCTCATGCTCGTCCCCGATATAAGCAGGCCCCGGTTCGCTCCTGGATTGCAGTAACCGAGGCGGGCTTTCGCTATAAGAACACTCAGGGGGGGAGCTACAGCTGACGTCATGGAAGGCGAAGCTGTCAGCGCGTGCAGCGTCCGACAAATCAGGTTGCATCAGCCGTTCAAACTGACGGTCAAGCAAGTCGCGCGAGTCAACGCTGTGAGGCGCACAAGCATCAGCATCAGCAGCTGGCCCTGCTTGCGCCGTGCCACTCCCCCTGCCCCTCCACCCGTCCAGTCCTGCGCCCCTCTCCATCCCGCGTTTCTCCGCTCCCGCGTACGCCTCTCTTTCGCCCTCCGCCGCCCCCTCTATCCGCAGCACCTGCGCTCCCCCGCCCCACTCCACCACGCTTCCGCTGTCCCCACCCCCGCTCCCAGCGCCACTGCTCACGCTGCTACCGCGGCTGCTGCGCCGCCTGCGACTCGACGCCACTCCGCCTGCGCCCACCCGCACTTCCCCTTCCCACTGCTGCTGCTGCGGCTGCTGGTGGTCGTAGGTGGGCGCAGCGGCAGCAGCGGGGGGGGAGGGCGCGTCGGGCCAGCGCGTGGCCTTGAAGAGCTGCCAGCACGCGTTCGCCTCCGCCACCACGCGCATCACCGTGTCGGAGGACGCCGGCCGCCCGCCCTGCGCAAACACCGCCTGCGCCTTGGGGGCTGCGCGGGATGGAGACGGGGTTGGTTGAAGATAGAGGGGGGGGATGGGGTGAAAAGAGATTAAGAATACGAGGGTAACGGGCGTGTGGATCGATCATGCCATGTTAGTGCATGAGCTGACACGATGGCACTACGCGCACGGCGACAGCACCAATCGCACCCGCGATTATCCCGAACCTGGCTGACACACATGGAGCATGCAGAGGCGGTGGATCTGACAAGCGCATGACACGGCTACAGCACTGCACACATGACACACGGACCACGGAGCACGGAGCACAGGGCACGAACGACGGACCAACTATCGCACGACACGAAGAGACATCACCGCTCGCGAGTGGGTACCTCTTCCCGGCCTCGTGCGGTAGCGCGCGAGCCATGTGCGCAAGCGATCCGTGACCCCCGGGAACAGCGACTCCACGTCGTCCAGACCCGTCGCGCGCCCGAACAGCGGGTCGTCCCACGCCACCACCAGAACCTTCCACGAAAGCGCCCTGGTGAGCGGATCGACGAGCCCAAACGCGCCAATGGGCCGCACCTCGTACACGTCGCCCACCTGTCGCACGCCGAACCCTAATTCGATCGCATCGAGCGGCTGGTTGTCGTTCGACAAGCCGGCAACTTCCGATGGAAATTCCTCGTTCGCTAACGTCTGCGGCAGCAAGCCGAAGTGCCATGGAGATGGCTCTGACAGGCGCGATAGGTTTCTGTTAACGAGGCGGGACTTTAACGGGCTGAGACGCTCGGTCAACGAAATGGCCATGTCGTAGGTTGAGCCACGTGGACAGAGGCAGACGAAGTGGAAACTGGCGGAAGAGGAGAATAGGGGTACGTCGTGCAGCGGAGACACCTCCGCACCCCACGCGTTCTTGAGAATGCATGTGTACAGCAGGTCCCCGGGATTGCCGATAGGCACCGGCATGAACTGACGGGACCGGAATCGAGGCTGCGCGTCCCTCTCCATTCTGTCCGTACGCTACGTCAGAATATGTGCTTACGGTTGGCTGGTGACGGGTCAGCCACCCAGTCTTTCAAATCATTCACGCATTGCTTCAGATCGAAGAAGCAAAGCTCGCTTATTTTCGTGAATATGTAGCACATAACTTATTGTTTAGTGAAGAGATCCCTGAGGGCCAATGGCTAGTAGGTCCTCGGCCAGAATAACTAAGTTGTTGACGGTGGCCGCGCAGAAACCCTAATTTACTCCATGATGAAATGGATGGGGGAATGCGGGAGTGGTGTGCCGGAGAGGTTGCACGGGACGTGACTGGCGGGAAAACGGAACAGACCCGCCACCCGACAGTTGACGGTGGCACTCTGCAGTAACGGGCAGCACACGAATTGTCCACCACAGTGCGTGGCAGACCCCCAGCCAACCAGGCCCAGCGTGGGGCAGCAGAAACGAGACTGCAGTGAGCATTCAACATAAAAGTGATTGCATGTCTTCAAACGAAAAACGTAACAAACCGTCCGTACAGGCACACGGGCATTCCACATCATAGCGTTTACCATTTTTACATCAGAAGTGTACATTATTCAGATTCAATCCACCACAAGTACCTCTGTCCCTCGTTCCCACCTGCGCGCATGGCGGGAGGACCTGCCCGCGCCAGCATCACCTCACCTGCGCACTCTCTTGGTCTTCCGCAAATCTCGAGGGAAATTGGTGCTGATTCTGCCCCATCTCATCTCCATTCGCAAACTCGCGAGTTCGCGTAACCGAAGAAATTTGACTTCGCATCCGGAATATGCGAACGCTAGTAGGCTCAAATGTTACCATATAGCCTCGCAAGGGTGTCAATCTGCATACCTCCTCGAACAAACCTCCACTTCTCTCCGCTCAACCACAACCACCACATTTTTTTCCAGGCGCACCTCTGAAAGTTTAGACTAGGAGGTTCGGACAAATACCCATAGGCCGTCGTTATTCCGCCAACTTCGCTCGCTTACAGCAACCGACATGTTTAATTTCGGAAAGCCCTCGTATGCGCAACTAGGCGTGGAGGCGGCGCGCAAGCCGCAAGGGGATTCATGGGCGCGCGCGGAGGGCGATGTGGACAGCAATGGCGGCGCGAGCCAGGGCAAGGCGCCGGAGTCGTTCGCGGGGACGAGCTCCAACATGAGCGCTGAGAGCGGCCGCGTTCAGGTGCGCTTATCCGTTCGCCTTTGCTACTCGTTTATTGAAATGCGGTCAAATCCCGTTGCCTAAGAAGATCTAATCTTCCCCCGTCGGTCCACATGGCTCCGCGTCCCCCGCCCGTTCTCACCGGCAGGTACCCATCGGCACGGTGTCTGAATCGCACAAGATGCCCGTCGCGCAGGCGCTCGCGCTGCTCGCGTTCACGGCCGTCAATGTCGCCGCGCTCGTCGCCATCTTCTGGCTCGCGCTCTCGCTCGAGGGCACGGAGCGCATCCTCGTTATAGCGCTTCTTGGCGGCGGATGGCTGGCGCTGCTGCTCTTCAACGTGCGCATGGCGGGGCGGCCGCGGCGCGTGATCCAACGGTTCCTGCACGCGAAGAGCAAGACGCGGCTGGGGCGGCGGCTGGGGCGCGGGCAGACGGTGGTGGTGCGCGGCGCCGTGTCGCTGCTGCACGAGGAGCTGCTCTCCACCGAGTTCCACAACGTCCCCGTGAGTACCGTTCTGTACGCGATATAAGGCGGCGGAATCCAATTCCTGCGTGCCCTTAGCTTCAGACCGTCTAGCCGGTCAATCCTTGTCCTTGCTTCGTCGCCCTGCTTCCACCCGCCCCTCCTCCTCCCCTCCTCCGTCTCTATTTCGCGCTCGCCATTCAACCGGCACACGCGCACACTTAACCCCACCCACGCGCGCACTTGCGGCTGTAGGGGCTGTTGCTGGTGGAGAGCAGTCTGCGGTCGTTCTACCCGGGGCTGTGCAAGGCGGACGCATCCAGAATTCAACTCCGGGGTGTTCATAAGATCGTCTAGCCAGTCCTGCCTTACTCTCGCTTTTTCAGCCGGCTTCCCCCTCGCCCGTTCCCCTCCCCTACCCCTCTATATATTCCGCCCGATATTCTAACCGACGCACGCCCACACTCATCTCCAACCCGCGCGCGCACTTTGACCGCAGGGGCTGGTGCTGGTGGAGAGCAGCCTGCGGTCGTACTACCCGGGGCTGCGCAAGGCGGACGCGTGGACGGAGCACGTGCGGCAGACGCGCGCCGTGGACTTCCGGATCACGGACGGGCAGACGGGCATGAGCGCCATTGTCAAGGCCTTCCACGCCGCCGAGACCGGCGTGGCGACGCCCCTCGTGCACATCTCCACCGAGGTACCGCTCTCAACCGAGGACTCTCCCCCGTCCGCTGGGGGCGCGGCGGGCGGGGAGGGGGGCGCGAGCGCGGAGGAGGAGAGGAAGAAGCGGCGCAAGGCGCTGTCTCCGCAGCTGATGGTGTGCAAGGGGTACATCCGTGCAGGGCAGACGATCACGGTGATGGGCGTGCTGACTGAGGAGCCCGGCACGCATGAGCTGCTCATCCAGCCCATGCCGCAGCCCCGCAACATTGCCAAGCTGCTGCTCTTCCGCGGCTTCATCCCCTTCTTCTTCCCCACCTGGGCCTCGGGACTCGTTATCTCGGACCAACGTGATGTGGCGTGATGCGGGAGGGCCAAGTGTGGCACGCCATTATCGTCTGGTGGTGATGTGGCAAAAGGGTCGTGCGCTGGAGGGACGAACACTTGGGATGGAGTGGTGTTGGTGACAGGTGTTGTGTGTTGTGGGATCATGCTGGTGGATGGAGGCCCGCTGGTCATGATCCCACACTAACAAATCATTGTATCGTACAATACCCTTTGAGTGGGAGTAGCTTTCATTTGTTAGTGTGATGACCTAAACACCTTCATATTGCATCCTGTTCCAGAAAATCAATATTGGCCACCTCAGTGCTACTCCACACAAATTGTATGGGATGCGGATCTTGTTGCATCTGAATAATACAAAAATGAATTACAAATCACTTGGCCATGTTACAGCTGGACGTCCTAAGCCGTCAAGAGGGTCATATGTAGTGGCAAGGCGAAATCGTGGGCACCTTCTACGTTACTCTCCCCCCACCCCAGTCACAGGAAATGGTTAAATCAATGTTTGCTTGTGGGGAGGGATGGTGAGGGTTAGATTGCGGGTGCTTGGGCGGATGGCGAAATCCTTGGATGAAATCCCTGCTGGATGTTCTTCTACCGAGGGGAGGGGATGGGAGCGGCGAGCTAACAGCTGAGCGCATCGTTCCTCATCACACTCGTCAGACCCTTTGCAACCCTTGCTACATCACGACGACAAGTCGTCCCGCACTACGAGCGCTGCAGCTGCGCGCATCCCTGCAGCAGCGTCTGAATCGCCTCCACCAGCTGCTGCCGCTGCTGCTGCCAAAACTCCTCCGTCTGCCCGCCCTGCGCCTCCTCCTCCCCGCTCCCCACCATCTGCTCCTGGCTCCGTTCCTCCGCAACCGCCTCCTGCGCTGACTGCCACGTGTCTTGCGCTGTCGCCAGCGACGCGAAGCTGTCCACCCGACGCCGTTTCGAACCGATACTAGCAGTATCAGCCGCATGGGGGGCGGCGAGCGGCCCGCTGGCGCAGACTTGCGACGCAGCCCATGGATCGGCGGCGCGGAGAGAGGAGGTGCAAGCCGTGTCGTCGTCATGATCGGCGGGCAAATCGCAGCTGCCGACGCTGCTGCAGGGAGACAAGGGCTCTTCCATCGACGCGGGTTCCTCCGCTGCGCTTGCTTTCCACACGCCCGCCGCGCCATGTCCCACGCCGTTGAGCAGAAGCACGAGGCCCAGCGCTGCTAAACGGCGGCTCACAGGCGCGGAGCTCAGCAAGCCCTGCAGCAGCACCTCCGTCTCCACGTCGCCCCGCTCCCCGCGCGCTAATGCGCTGCGTCTCCGCACCGGGGGGCTGGGGGCAGTACCTTCCGTGGGGAAATGAGCGCTCGTTGGCGATGCGACGTGGACCGGCGTAGTTGGTTGGGGGAAGGATGGTTGTGCGGAGGGCGGGGACTGTGGGGAGAAGAACGCGGGCATGGAGGTGGGGGAGGGGGAGCGAAGTCTGGAGGAGGGCTCGAGGATGGGAAGCGCGGAGGGCTCGTGCGCGGAAGAGACGGGGCGCCACAAGTCCTGGGAAGCTGCTGCGGGGCTGCATGTGGGGCCGACGGGATGCGACGTCTTGCGACGAGTGGGTGGTCGCTGATCGTCCGCTTGCCATGCAGCGTCGGGCGAGCGGGCCGTCCGCGCATTCCAGTCCGCCGGCACCTGCTCGGCCGTGGCTGCGTGCTTTAACGACTCTATCCAGTCCCAGCTAAACGCCGCCATGGATTCTAAGTCGATAGACTAAGGGTGTTGGTTGAGATCGAAAAAATGTACTCTGGGAAAGTTGCTTTACTCGTGTAACTGAAACTAGTTCGACCTGATCGATAGTCATGCAGAACAGAAGCACGTCGATTGAATCTCCACTTAGAGAAACCAGACGGCGGCGAATTAGTCAATGGCATGACACGAGACAGTGGGATGGTTTGGTCGTGGTGATGGCAATGGCTTTCTCATCAAGAACAGTACAATCGGTGTGATGGGGTGGGGTGGATGGAGCAACGAGGAAGCCCCCCTGTGTGACGTGGGCCAAGGAGTCGTTGCGGGCATGAAGCAGGACAAAGTGAGCGTAGCCCCCCGACCTTCTCTTCCTCGCCATTGGTTCGCTTTGCTGTGCGGGCGACTCGGGTCGCGGTGCGACCTTTGCGAGGTGTGTCTGCTTGTTGTGATACAGTGATGTACACGAGACGAGAAAAAACGGCAACAGAAGCAATTGTGCATTTGATTGATGGTGGGCTGCTCACTTACCTCGCGAAAGTTGCCTTGCGAGCGACCTGCGCTGCGACATTGAAGCATTCTCGCAAAAGGGAACCCAACCAATGCGGTGCGGGCACAAGTTTGCTGGTCGAAAAGCTCGATTGGGTTCGATGAATCGACACGAGATCACAGCCCCTGAAAGCAACCGAACCCATTGGCAGCGTGTTGACTAGGTGGCGGGCAGATGCGAAATATGGCCTGAAATTGTTACCTAGTAGATTGTCAATGTGATCCATAGCTTACCTGACGTGTAGCAGAAGTTGTCGACGGGATTATCGTTATCATCCTTTAAGAGAAGTGATTAGCGACACCCGGGGGGCAGACAAACCTCGCTGAGAAACTTATTTTCTTCTGGAGCAGGCAACACCGACGTGTGCTTCTCCGATAGCATTTGTCGTCACCTGCAACCTGGAGATTCCACCTGAAAAGCACCGCATCGTCCAAAGCGCAGGTGCTACCAAACGTCTGTTTCTCTCTTGTCCCAGACGTGGGGGGCAAAATGCCGAGTCCATTCATAGACTTCGGTGTGGGCAATACCCGAATAAGTCCAAGCATCGGGAATTTCTGGTTGGCTCCTTGTGGGAGCTCAGGTGTCTGCAACTAACAGACGTCGCAGTGGTCATGCTCCCACGACAACGAACAACCAGGATGGTGATTGTGCCGTAGTTCATTATACGCCCACGCGTTAGGAATGTATTACTTGCGTTCTGTTTAGCCTATTACCTTCATATTGGGAAGCGGCCATCGAGGCTTTCTCAACACATGCTTACGGTACCATGCATGTGAGGGGAATACCACATGTTCGCTGCTTTTGGCAGGTTAAAACCCTAAGCTTGAATTACAAACTTTCTGGGAGGTGTTAACACTTCTGGAGCCGAGTGTGACCTTCTAAGGCCTCTGGCTCTTAGCACGATTAAGTTAAAACCGAAATATGGAATAGTGAACCCCGTCCCAGCTTGAAAGGGTCTTCCAGAGTGGGTTTGCAAAGCATTGTTTCAAACATTTCGTGTGTGCAGAACGAAGCCATTTGATTGGCTCCCGCCAAAAACGAAATTTTTGGGCCTTACACAAGGAGTCGCCTTCAACATGATGCACCCGCACGACGGCTGCACGGCGATCATTGCGATCGTTGGGTCCAACTCCAACTTCAAGCTGGACCTGGGTTCCACTACTTCTTTCCGCTCTAGTCTCTAGTTTAGCCAAGCTTAGAATAGCTGAAAACGTAGGCATTTTTGCCTAGGCAACTACCATTTTTATAAATTTAATCCTCATCCTTCTATTCGTGGCCTAGTGGCGAGGAATCTTACGCGCCGCGTAGCGACACTTGCCTCGAGATTATTCGGCTGAACGCGCTCGCTGCCGAAACGCCCTTTCGTCGCCCTCTCTCTCGCCCCTCTCTTCCCGTCGCGCTCTCTCTATCCGCGCTCTTCCCGTCGCCTCCCTTCCCATCGCGCTCTCTCTCCCCCCTCCCTTCCCATCGCGCTCTCTCTCTCCGCTCCCTTCCCGTCGCCCTCTCTCCCGTCGCCCTCTCTCTCCCCCCTCCCCTCCCATCGCGCTCTCTCTCTCCGCTCCCTTCTCGTCGCCCTCTCTCCCGTCGCCCTCTCTCCCATCGCCCTCGCTATCTCCTTCGCTATGTCCCGTCGCCCTCTCTCTCCGTCGCCCTCTCTCCCGTCGCCCTCTCTCCCATCGCCCTCGCTCTCTTTTTTGTTATGTCCCGTCGCCCTCTCTCCCGTCGCCCTCTATCTCTCACGTCGCCCTCGCTCTGTCCCGTCGCCCACGCTCTCTCCCGTCGCCCCCGCTCTCTCCCGTCGCCTCGCGAAATTTTATGCCGTCTCGTAGTAATATCGACCTTGCTATCCCCCTTTCCCGAAGCTCAAAGTATTAAGTGACGATACTTTTAGCTGGTGGCGGGGGCGGGGTTAATCACCTGTCGCTAAATACTTATGCAGCCAACTAGTTCTTCTATTTTTTCTTATTATAATTATAGGGACCCTAATTTCGTACAGATTTACCTCCCCTCCCGTCGATCCCTTCAGGTCCTTGTTCCCGTTCCCTTGCTCTCTCCCCTCCTTTTCCACCGCCCTTGGTCTCTCCCCTCCATTTCCGTCGCCCGTGCTCTCTCCCCTCTGTTCCCGTCGCCCTCGCGTTCTCCCCCTCCCTTTCCATTGCCCTCGCTCTCTTCCCTCCCTATCCGTCTCCCTTGCTCTCTCCCCTCCCTTTCCGCCGCCCTCGCTCCACCTCATCTGACCCTCCCCCATGCCCCTCCCATCTCCCTACCATTCCGCAGATTTTGCTCACGCATCTCTCTTCCCGCGTCCTCGTTTGTGCTGCACTAAGTGTCTCTTCTCTCGTGCCCTCAAATTCTCTGTTTTTTTTCGCTTCTTGTTTTTCCCATGTTGTTATCGCCTCCCTTGCAGGCCCATGTATAAGGCATTTGCTTTGCGTGCGTTGGGCTTGCTTTGAATGAGTTGGACGTGCTTCACAATCCGAATTTGGCACTGGATATGAATGAGACTTGCGCATCGCAATGTTTTGAGCGACGCATTTGCACATGCTTGCGACGATTTTGTTTGAGTTGAAGTTGGGAAACTCGATCAGCATCATATGCGCTTGGAAAAAAAATAAAGAAAAGCACTTCAACTTTCAAGTGGACCCAACAGAAAGGGGGGGGGTCACTATTTTAGCTGTTGGCTTTAAGTCATGCCTTACCCAATGCCTGCTTAATGATGCTAAGTGCTCTGACTAAAATATCAAGTGCCGAGTATTGAGCTGGTGAAGCCCTGGAATTACTTGAAGAGGTAAAATTTACATGTATGACTTACATCCTCGAGCTACCATGCTGGTACGCTGGACAGATAGAGCCTTCGACGTGCACAAGTAGGACGTATGGGCTACTGCTACCCAGGCAGAACAACGCGAATATGTGTACCTATTGTGTGCCGGCAGCTGATTTGGAGACAACCTACTGATGCCAGTGGATGCAAGCTGCACACCGCACCGTGCGTTACAACTAATCAACATTACAGTTGTACACATTACGGCAGACATTTGCCCCACACTCATGCTCCCAACACCCCTTCATGTCACACCCACCCAGCTGCAATGCATCAGTGCCCCGCTCTGTCAGAATCACAGCCACTAACCACAGGGATGAAAGGGCTTGTTTGTGTAGCGGGTGAGTGCGCCCATAAGGGCGTGTGCACCTAGGGCGAAATTTGTCAGAGTTCAAACATTAACCGCTTTTCACTGTGGAGAAACGTCTCTTACTGGTATCATACCGAGTAAAACCTTGCTAAAAGCTCGAACTTGGACAGAAGTTCGAACACCTGGTGCACACGCCCTAACCCCCCAGGCCAACGTGCCTGTAACCCTTCCCTATGATCAATTGGGGATCACCAGTGGACCTCTGACACCCCCCCGCACAGGAATGCCCGAAGTGCACACACCGGGATTCGAACCCGAGACCTTTGCTCTAATAATATGTCAGAATCCCAGCCACTAACCACAGGGATAAAAGGGCTTGTTTGTGTAGCGGGTGAGTGCGCCCATAATCCCCCAGACCAATGTGCCTGTAACCCTTCCCTAGGATCAATCGGGGACCACCAGTGGACCTCTGACACGCTCACCTGCCATGTCCATGCGAAGAGGATGACGGATGGACATGCAAATGAACGGGAGACAACCCTACGGACAGAGAGATAGAACCAGCAAGGGTCACTGGCAGCTGGGTATGGCTCCAGCAGCTTCTCCTGCCACTAGCCCATTCGTTTCACCAACTCTCCCCAGAATGCCTCCCATGCCACACTGTTAGAACAGAGCCATGCGGTGCGGCGACTGTTTCAAGTCATGCAGACTGCTTGCGGAGTTTACAGCGAGGTAAAGGTGGCACCTGTAGATGGCATTGGGCAGATGTTCAGCGCAGTATCTGATTCATGTGTTATTGTCAAACTATGACAATGCTTGTGCTGTGTAGGCTGTAGTGGGGTAGCCCATAAGGGGTACAACCCAAATTAGGGTTAGCATATGTACCCACATCTCTGTTCAATGCACTCATTCCTGCTGCTAGATTCTAACATGATTTCAGAGCACTAGGTCCGTAGGACCGTTTTTTTTTTTCGGGCCCACCTACCGTTGCGGTTACCACGCTACCCTACGTGCGCCTGCCTGTCTGCCTGCCTCGCCTTGTGACGTGCTGCGCTGCGCGCTCCGTCCTGCAGCCCTCGCGCTGCCTACTGCTGCCCTAGGCCAGCGCGCCGTCCCTGCAGACCCGTACGACCCGCGAGCCGCCCCTGCAAGCCCGTCAGGCCCGCTAGCCGTCCCTGCAGGCCCGTCAGGCCCGCGAGCCGCCCCTGCAGGCCCGTCAGGCCCGCTAGCCGCCCCTGCAGGCCCGTCAGGCCCGCTAGCTGCCCCTGCAGGCCCATCACGCCCGCTAGCCGCCCCTGCAGGCCCGTCAGGCCAGCGAGCCGCCCCTGCAGGCCCATCAGGCCATGTCGCTGCCCCACGCAACGCGCTGCAACCCCGCGCATCGCGTCCGCAGCCCGCGCGTTGCACTGCAGCCCCGCGCGTCGCGTCCGCTGCCTGCGCGTCGCGCTGCAGCCCTGCGCGTCGCGCCCGCTGCCTGCGCATCGCGCTGCAGCCCCGCGCGTCGCGTTCGCTGCCCGCGCGTCGCGCTGCAGCCCCGCGCGCCGCGTTTAGGGTTTAGCGCGTCGCGCTGCAGCCCTGCGCGCCGCGCCTGCAGCTCGCGCAGTGTGCTACAGCCTCGCGCGCCGTGGCTGCCTCTGTTCCTCGCGGCTGCCCCTGGACGCCGCCCCTACGTGACTGCCACCGTCGCTCCTACAGCAGCTACCACGGAGCGCCCTACTACAGTCGCGGCCCAGCCCTGCAGCAGCTGCCACGGTGCCTCCTGCCGCCGTCGCGACCCTGCCCTGCGGCAGCTGTCGCGGAGCCTTCTGCCGCAGTCGCGGCCCCACCCTGCAGCAGCTGCCGCGGAGCCTCTTGCCGCGGTCGCGGCCCCGCCTTGCAGCACCTGCCGCGGAGCCTTATGCCGCCGTTGCGGCCCCACCCTGCAGCTGTCACGGCCCCGCCCTGCAGCAGCTGTCGCGGACCTGCCCTACCGCCGACGCGGCCCTACTCTGCGGCCGCTGTTGCGGCCCCGCCGAGCGCCGGCCCTGCTTGCCACTGGTGAGCACCTACCTTGTTCGTGCGATGCCGCCTGCCTGCCTGCCTTCCTGCCTGCCTCCTGCCTGCCTGCCGGCCTGCCTGCCTGCCGCGCCTGCCCTGCACGCGCTGCTGCTGCTACTACTGCTATTGCTACTGCTACTGCTACTTCTGCTACTGATAGTGGCCAGATGCAGCTCCAGCGACGTCCGCGTGAGTCCCTCACGCCCCAGCAGCTTAGTGAGTGGTACGCTAGTTGGGGTTGTAGGGGTGGCCGCGCTGCTACTGCTGCTAGTGCTGTTACTGCTGCTACTGCTGCTACTACTATTACTGCAACTACTGGCGGTGGCCAGATGCAGCTCCAGCGACGTCCGCGCGATTCTCGCACGCCCCAGCAGCTTCGTGAGTGGTACGCTCAGAGTAGAGGGTATCTGAGTACCGTTCGCTGCCCGTACGTCATTCGCACTGGTGCTCGGACTGGTCAGGCTTGCGGGACGCTCAGTCACACACAGTCCCGCTGCTTCGCCCGTCTGAGCGACGCCTGGCGTACCGAGTTTGGCGACGAGGCTGAGCTCCCCGACTGGGTGGAGCTGCTTGGGCAGAGGGTAGATATATTTGCTCTTGACTATGATGCTATTCTCACTGCCATGTATGCATTGCCTACTAGTGCTAACCGTGCCTGTTACCTGTGCGTACCGCCTGACCCAGGTATAGAGCCTGCTGCTTTAAGGGCTAGTGTGTCTCCTGCTCTAGGTACTGGTGAGGCTACTGCTCCAGGTGCTGGTGAGTCTGCTATCTCCGGTACTGCGCCTGCTCAGGCCTTGTACACCTTCACACTTGACTCTGGTGCTTCTCGCTCCTTCTTTCGCGATAGCACCACCCTCACGCCGCTCAGTCGGCCGGTTCCAGTCTCCCTGGCAGACCCCTCTGGGGGTCCAGTCCGTGCGACCTCCTCCACTGCCCTCCCTTGTCCTGCTGTCCCGTCCGGCACACTGTCGGGTCTTTACCTCCCCTCGTTCTCTACAAACTTGGTGGCGGGTTCTGCGCTCCAGGACGCGGGTGTTCACCAGTTCACCCCTGCCTACGAGCGTGTGACACACCGCACGTGTGCTCAGACGGGTCGTCACCTAGCTTCGTTCACTCGGCAGCCAGGGTCGGGCTGTCAGAGTATTATAGCTGATGCATGTTTGTAGGCTATAGTGGGGTAGCACATATGGGGTACAGCTTTCTAGGGATGTATTTGTACCCAACTCTTACTTAGTCATTCTCATTCCTGTTCACTTGTTTCACATGGTATAGAGCGGGTCCTTCCTTAGGACCGTTTTTTTTTAGGGCCCACCGAAGCGCGCCCCGAGGCGCGCCTTTTTTTTTAGCGACCCCTCGGGTCGCCATTTCCCTCGCGGCCCCGCTGTCCCTCAGACGCGGCCCCGCCACCCCTCTTGATCGCGGCCCCGCCGCCTGCTTGGCGCGGCCCCGCCGCCGGCTCTGACGCGGCCCTGCCGCCCGCTTCGTCGCGGCCCCGCCGCCTGCTTGACGCGGCCCCGCCGCCTCCACTGACGCGGCCCCGCCGCCGGCTCTGACGCGGCCCTGCCGCCCGCTTCGTCGCGGCCCCGCCGCCTGCTTGACGCGGCCCCGCCGCCTCCACTGACGCGGCCCCACCGCCGGCTCCGCCGCAGCACCCTACGGCCCGCCGCCTCACCTGACGGCCCCGCCGCTGCACCTGCCGGCCCGCCGCTGCACCTGCCGGCCCGCCGCTGCACCCAGCGGCCCGCCGCTTCACCTGACGGCCCCGCCGCTGCACCTGCCGGCCCGCCGCTGCACCCTACGGCCCGCCGCTGCACCCTACGGCCCGCCGCCCCACCTGGTCGGCCCGCCGCTGCACCCTACGGCCCCGCCACTGCACCTGCCGGCCCGCCGCTGCACCGGTCGACCCGCCGCTGCACCTGACGGCCCCGCCCCTGCATCTCCCGGCCGAGCCGCCCCAGCAGCAGAGCCGCCCCAGCACCCGAACCGCCCGGGAGCCGAGCCGCCCAACGCCGAGCCGCCCGGGACCCGAGCCGCCCTGCCGCCGAGCCGCCCGGGAGCCGAGCCGCCCTGCACCCGAGCCGCCCTGCCGCCGAGCCGCCCGGGAGCCCGAGCCGCCAAGCCGCCGAGCCGCCCGGGAGCCGAGCCGCTGTGC